TCCTTCTGCAAGCCCCTTCCCTAGATGATTGATATGGTGAGGGGGATGGTGAGGTGAGATGAAAAAAAGTTCCTGCTGTCAAAAGAAAAATACTGAGTGTAAGAATGGAATGGGTGGAAAATAATTAAAGCAGCATTTTGCATTATAATCAATATTCTACATTCTGTGACAGTTCTAACAGAATATGTGAAAAATATAATACAGTGATACTTTTAATACTGAGATTGGAATGAGTCGCTCAAGCATCACAGTATTTAAAGAACAAAAACACACCACTCTAAGAAGTTAAAATGACAATTAGGATGACAAAACAACATTCCTTTTTATGAGTTTGTTCTATTGGTAACCATTAAGCAAATGAGGATTAAACTAATCCTATTAATGGCAATTTATGTGATTATACAAGTAAACCATTTGATATGCCTTCATTTTAAAGCTTAACATGTTTAAGAAAATAATACTGTTACAGAAAATGAATTTCTTTTGAAATAACAAACCATAAAAATACTAATAAGCAGCAATGGTTAAGTATGACAGCTAACACTTTTTGAGCACTTACTATGAGCCATCCACTGTTCTAAGGGCTGTTTTACACATACTAAATCATTAACTTCACAACTACCCTATAAAGTAAGTACAGTATAGAATTAGCTCCATTTTATAGATGGGACTCTGAGACACAGAAAGGTAGTGTAACCACTGGACTGAGTTCCATCTAAATACAGGACACTGAGTAAGAAATAGAATAGTTTGTTTTTGTTTTTTGTTTTGTTTTTTTACAGCAGTCGCCACTTCTCTGCGGTTTCCCTTCCCACAGTTTCAGTTACCTGCAGAAAACCACAGTCCGAAAATAGGTGAGTACAGCACAGTAAGGGATTTTGAAAAAGATGACATTTACATGTTTGTTACAGTATATTATTATAATTGTTCTATTTTACTATTAGTTACTGTTAATATCTTACTGAGCCTAACTTATAAATTAAACTTTATCATACAGGTACCTATACATAGGAAAAAACATGGTCCATATCAGGTTTGGTGCTCTGGGGTTTCAGCAACCACTGAATGTATTCCCTGTGGATAAGCAGGGTGATGGGACTACTGTATTTTCCTAGATGAAGACTGCAACCAAGAAGAATGAAAACAGGTTTCTTGCCAAAACATCTTTCTGCATGTCCATATGCACTAAAGCTATAGGAAAATATACTCAATTATAACAATTATTACATCAAATAATCTCATTAAGATACTTAACAATATCCACGCTATTCAGCACTTGTTGTCTAGGTACTGTGTTAAACACTTTCTTAACACATTCCTGAGGAAATATAAGACAATCCATGACAGAATATTCCATGACTGACTGAAGCTCATGTACAATCTCTGCAGTGGAACTAGAGGGTTATTTTATGGAATTCTGGTTTTCATTGTGTATCACTGAAGGGTGGATGGTTTCTGCATATGCCAACTTCCTCCAACCAGACAGGAGGAGGACAAGCGGACACTGTGAGGTCTTAGATATATCCTGAGTTCAGGAATTTATGTTTACCTTTCCCATTTAGGTTTTCAAAACAACCATAGCAGACATCACTAGAAGGGCCAGTTTCTGGAAGCACTGGGAGGGAAAGCTATGAGAAGGGTGTGTGGATAAAAATCAGACTGCTGAGGACTAAAGCTACTAAGAAACTTCAGGCTCCTGGAAACAGCTGATGAAATCTTACATTATTCATTTGATACACAGCTCATAGATTTGTACTATGTGCTTAGCAGATGAAAAGATAATACAAAATAGTATACAGCCCAGTGTCTGACCTCATAAGAAAAGGGAGTAACCAGTGGGTTACTAGACAACTGTCATAGGAAGCAGTCACATCCAAAACCTGGAGAAACTTATCAGCCTGTAAAAGCATCTGCTGAATTCCAGAATCGGTTTTGAAGATTAATACAAATGGAAATTCTCTGTTCGTTATATTTAAGAAAATGAACCTCTAGAATAAGAAAATTACTAGGATATGGATAAAAATACATCTACTTACTTTTCTCTACGAGAAGCCAAAAAATGAAAAAATAACTATATTATTAGACCTTACGTAGCTAGAGAAATTCACATCGTATGTGGGTGAGTAACCTGAGAAATTCTTCCTGCTATAGCATGAAATGGTCAGTACTTACTAGAAAAGCAAATTGTGCCCAGCAACATATATTAAAACAATTGCTCAATATTGCTTACATTCCATATAATTCTGTCTTTAGATTCTGAAGGATTATCACAAGAATTTTTCTGCCATAACACCATATTTAGCTAAATTCCAGTTATATTAATGGCTTATGCATGATCTATTAAGAGAAAGGAAAGGCACTAACATTTCCTCAGAACCTCCTAAGTACAGGTACTGTGGTGGATGCTACATGCAAATCTCATTACCTGGATGTACTACAGGATCACTGTACATTGTGACTGCATAATATAAGCATTTCTCTTCCTTTAAGAATACTATTTTCCTCAATTATCTAACACTTGAAGAATGATAAGAGAGAAAAAGACATATCTTACTTGTGAAAGCCCTTCAGAGACTCCATAGTTAAGTTTCAACTGTTAAAAACAATTATGAAGTGAGTTTGAGATGAAGAAGTGAATACTGTACAATCACTGTTATGAAGCTGAGCTTTTCCTATTTGAAGAAGGCATTTCTGGTCTTAAAAGTTTAAAAAGAGAAGAATAAAGAAAAAAAAATCCAACATTGTAATGGAGTTAGCACAAAAGAATCAGAAAAAGAATGAACTAACAATTAATTCCCTTTGGTACAAGCAGTACAACTGTAGGTGGTACAAAAGGATAGAGCCAGGAATTTTTGGTAGGAGAAAGAAAAGTAATGCTGTCATCCAGGTACACTTCTCCAAATGTGCAAGGATATCTTTGATTACATGTAGATTATTCAATTAAATGATTTAAAAAAATTTTGAAGCTGAAATCGTGTCATGGCATATATCAGGAAGTGAACCTTTTAAGGACAGGTGTATTTACCCATAAATAGCCCAGTGGGCTTTCCCCCAGTGCTAGGAACCACTTAACAGTATTTCAAAGTTACTTTGGCAGCAACAGTTTGAAAGTGGGCTATAAATAAGAAAAACGATGCCTTGTGATAAAAAGGTAGATACGAAAAAAAAATTAAAGTGGCACTTACTTTACTTTATTTATTTATTTTTCTTGAGATGGAGTCTTACTCTGTTGCCCAGGCTGGAGTGCGGTGGCGTGATCTCAGCTCACTGCAAACTCCACTTCCCAGGTTCAAGTGAGTCTCCTGCCTCAGCCTCCCAAGTAGCTGGGACTACAGGCATGCTCCACCATGCCTAATTTTTGTATTTAGTAGAGACAGGGTTTCACCATGTTGGCCAGGCTGATCTCAAACTCTTGACCTCACGTGATCCACCTGCCTCAGCCTCCCAAAGTGCTGGGTTTATAGGCGTAAGCCACCGCACCTGGTCCTAGGCTTTATTACTTTGAAAGAGGGCTAAATTCATTCTAGTAGGATGGTTTTCCAATGTCTAGTGAATTTTTTTAACTCAAAAATGATTTGAAGCAATAGTACAACTCTAATTTTGCTGATTCCCAAAAAGAGCTAAAACTCCCAATGAGGCTTTAAAAAATGACTGTAAACATGTTGCTTATTTAGGCAAATTAAATAATTTTTCATATTTTAATCAAATGTTCATCATTTATGTGCAAGCAGTAGCTTAGGCCCATCTTTTCTTACACTCAGGAAGCTAAAGCAATTGCTAGGGGTCAGGGAGCAACAAGCACGTGGTGATGACTGTTGCTTGCATTATCATACGTTCAATTAGTTTCTTCTCTCTTGTCCTTATAATTCAGGTAAAAAAAAGAACCATTTTTAAGAATGAATGACTAACCTCACCATCACCATCCACCAAAATCATCACTAAGTGGCCCAAATGCAGGGAGTGCCATAAATTACACAATGGAGATATGCCTAGAAAGTTATCCAACAGACAAAGAATATTTTTTTAAAGCATTTGAATTTCTTGCTATGTTGAAAGTATTGTGGTTTTTCTTAGAGCAGGATGTACCTGTAGATTCGCTATTTCCATTGGAGGGTCATGAAGGTACCTAACTCATAGAGTTACCCTGGTATCTAAGATAGCTAATACATTTAAGTGCTTAGAAATGTTTTGGCATATAGTAAGTGCTCTGTTAGTGTTAGCTATTATTATCAAAATAGTGCATGACCACTTTAGAAAGGCTAGAAAATACAAGTATACAGAAACTAGAAAAAGAAATCCCCATTCTCACCTCATACTTCATTTTAATGTATTTATATAGATGCATAGGTTCTTCATGAGTTTATACTAAGTGCTGATGTTTTCTTAAACATGGATCACCTCTTCTATAAAGAACATTGGGTTATAGGCCACAAAAACAGAAATATAAATCAAGAATTAAATTGAATTTATCCAGATCCTGACTGTTGTTTATAATTTATTTTCTGCTCTAGACCTTATTAAATATACACTAGAAACAAAAAGTAAAGGCAGGGCACTATCAGAGAAAACCTAAGAAACATCGGGACTTCAGAGACATAACCTCACAGAAATAAGTCTAAAAATAATACATGAAACAAGAGCTAAAAGAAGTACAGAATATGGTGGTAATTATAATAGGAAAATGAGCACTCAGAGAAGGTCACCTCAAGGATAAAAGACCTGCTTCTTCTAATTGACCAGAAAGTCATCAGTCCTTCTTTCTGTTTTGAGGTATACTTTTAATAAACCTAAGACATATCAAATTCTTATTTGATCAATGATAACAGTAAAATACAATGGAAGAAAAGTATTTATAAGCCTGTAACAGAGAGAGCGACCTGCGCTCACACAAGTATACAGCGATATGCATACAGGAAGAATATGCCACATACCCCAAACTCATCCCAAGTTAGTGGAGGTAATAAAATGCAAAGGACTCCTTTGCTGGGGTCTGGACAAACCTGTTGGAAAGGCCGAGTCTGGGCTTGCCTGAGAAGCCGCTGTTGCTGCTGCTGCTGCAGAAGCTTCATCTGTATCAACTGCTGCTGCGATGTGATTGCATGAAGAGAAGGCGGCTGCATCATGGCGCCCGAGCGCCGCTGTAGCATGTTTGACAGAGCTTGTTTGGTGTTGGTTGGGACAAAGGAGCCTGCAGGGTCCAATCTGGAGCCACCTACAAAAGCAACCAAAAGGAAACACTTTCTAACTATGTTAATGCAACAGGTCTTCTTATTTATCAAAACACAGAAATTTCATCTTCTAAGTCTCACTTTATGAAAAAAGTAGAAAACAATGCACTGTCCCATCTGCCACAAATATTAAAGACCTGTTGAGTTGCATAATTTACAAAAGATGGGGGGAGTGATGTAGAAGTGAATTATACTACTTTGATATAACTTCATGGAGGTCTTCAGTTCATAAATTGAAATGCATAAAACATACAGTTGTTGGCGTAATTTCATAATTACATGGGTTTTAAATTAGGCAAGGCCCTCAGGAACATATTACTTATATAAAACATACTGCCTTTGTGATGTATTTTGCCAAGTTTTTAAGTCATTCATATAAATCCTTTTGTACTTTTCATCAAATCTGAAGCTCATGTCATTGAAGCCTTTTCACCACGGTAAAATGAAAATGCGTGTTTTATAGTAGAGGCATGAAAATGCTTTAAAATCTTGAAATGCTTGCAAACTTCAAATACCATGATTGTTATGAGAAAACATCTTTTTTGAAGGCTAAAAATCAAATAAACAAGCAACTATTATATTGATGCTTAAGAAACCACAGGAAATCCTTTACATATTTGTATATTATAATTTGTCATATGTCTTTAAAAGTTAGGGGAAAAAAGTCAACATATGCTGGCTTCACAATAAATGGCAATTCTTCATTCACCAAAAATAGTCCTTGATATATGTAAATAAAAAAAAAACTCTACATAAGCACCTCATAAAAGTTGTTTTATCTTTTTTATAAAGCAAGATGTATGATGAAAACAAACATTTTAAAGCTTTTTTTTTTTTTTTGGAAAAACCCACATTCTTTTAAAGACTCAGTACCACAATCAGCAATACAATTTATGAAGTTGTGAAAAGAAACTAAAAATCTTGGGATGCCGAACTTACTATGACAAAGGTAAAAGTCAATGTTGAGAACTGAATCATGAAAAACTATCCCCCGGGTTGTTTCCTAAATAGATAGCTGCAAAGATAGAAGGCTTCATACCTCCCCAGGGGGCCTCCCTCAAAATTTGCTCACAAGGAAATTCCTTGTAAGCTCCAAGAGATTGACTCTAAAATTAACAGCTTTTATGGTGGGGGCTGGGGTTGTGGGGGAGCAGGACAGAGCTAGAAGTCATCCCTCCGCTTATCAGAGACAAATACATATTTGACCTCTTCCTCTACTCTGTGTTTACTTAATCTTATGTAAAAATGCAGATTCAACAACATAATTGACTAAAACTTCAACCTGCTTCTTTCATATGTAAAATGTAGATTCAGGGAATGTTGATCAAAGCCTCAAAAGAATGAAACTGCTTACTCCTTTTATCTACTTCCCCTTCTTTTTCCTCCTTCTTTCCCCTACTGCCTACTCTTTCCCCTTTAAATACTGAAGTCCCCAAACCCTCTTTGGGAAAAGCACAGATGTTCCTGTGATTTTGTGTTCCTTTTTCCCAGGCATGTCCTCAACCCTGGCACAATAAACCTCTAAAATGAGTGAGATTTGCCTCAGTCATCTTCTTCTATTTACAAAGTCATTCAGCAGCATTTGAAGAGCATTTGGAAAAAACCAGAAGTAACACATGGCAGGGTAACTTCTGTTGAAGCAACAATCAAAACGTATATTACGTGTTAAGAATTACGTATATTAATATGTAAAAACAGATTCATTTATAGAAAAGCGAAATTCTTTTTAAAGATTAAACTATAATCTAATTTTTTAAAATTTTCCTAACTCTATGATCTTGTACCTCTGGGAAACTATCAAAATAGAATATTACAAATATGGCTGAAGCCCTTTGTATACCTAATTACTTTCCTCACTGATTCCTACCAAATGCTATTCTGAATCTGGAATTTACCATCCTATGCATTTCTTCACAACTTTATCACACTGGTGTGTATATATGAGAAAGATTAGGGAAAGATACATATGTTTTTGTATGTGAGTGATGGTGGGAGATTGTTTTGCATTTAAACCCTATATGAATGGAATCATGTTGTACATACTGTCTTGTAACTTTAGAGGATGCTTTTTTTTAAATGAAAATAAATTCGCTCATATAAATCCTCAAAAATAATTTTTTTTCAAAACTTATTTATTTTTACTTTCTTTTTTTTTGAGATGGAGTCTCGCTCTGTCACCCAGGCTGGAGTGCAATGACGTGATCTCGGCTCAAGCAACCTTTGCCTCCCAGGTTCAAGTGATTCTACTGCTTTGGCCTCCCAAGCAGCTGGGATTTCAGGCATCACCATACCCAGCTAATTTTGTTTTTGTATTTTTAGTAGATAAGGGGTTTCACCATATTGGCCAGGCTGGTCTTGAACTCCTGACCTTAGGTAATGTGCCCGCTTTGGCCTCCCAAAATGCTGGTATTACAGGTGTAACCCACCATGCCCAGTCCAAAATTTATTTTTTAAATGCCATCTCATACCTAAAGTTCCTCAACTTACAAAAAGCTTTCTATAGTATTCTACAGGGAGAGATTATGTGCTTTTTCAAAGTAGTAAGCTTTCAATTCACAGACAGTCCTTGTGTGTCAGTATCTACAAAGAAACTTCTACATCTCCAAAGTTTAAAATGGCCAAAAATTCACATGGACCTTGGCATTAGAAAGAGGCATTAAAAAGAGGAAGTTTAAAAGGATGGTGATTGCATCCTTCTTTTCCACTCTGAGTCCAGTTTGCAGTCTATATTCATTCACTCAACAATCTATTTTTAAAGGCCTACTATAAAGCCAGAGGTTCCTCTAAGTTCTGGGGATACTGCAGTGAACATAACAGAAAAAATATATCTGTCACGAGGCTTACATTCTGGGAAGATAATAAATCAATAAGAAAGTCAGATATAGGCAAGTTAGATGCTATAGAGCAAGCTTGTCCAACTCATGGCCTGTGGGCTGCATGCGGCCCAGTATGGCTTTGAATGCAGCCCAATAAAAATTTGTAAACATTCTTATAACATTATGAGATATTTTTTGTGATTTTTTTTTTTTTTTTAGTTTATCACCTATTATTAGTGTATTTTATGTGTGGTCCAAGATAATTCTTCTTCCAATGTGGCCCAGGGAAGCCAAAAGATTGGACACCCCTGCAATAGAGAAACAGAAAAAAGAGAGAAACAGAGGGTAGAGGGAAGGGGTATGGATTTACAATTTAAAACAGGTTAGTGAAGGCCCCAGTGAGAAAGTAATGTGACCAAGCCCAACGGAGATAGGCAGGAAGTGATGTAGATATCTGAGGGAGAGCACTGCAGGCACAGGGGTCAGCAAGTACAAATGCCCTGAGCTAGGAATATATGAAAATCACTTACTGAACATGTCTGCAGGGTCAAGCTACCTTCAAAAGGCTATATAACTATTACACTTTACTTTTAAATCTTACATATATACATGTGTGTAACATAAACTTTATTTAATCTTTTAAAAAGTAGGTATTTTGCACGTTTTGGTCACTGCAATATCCTAGTATCCAAAACTGGGTCCACTATATCACGAAGCTCAATACATTCCTGAATAAATAACTGAATCCTCCACCCTATGGGAATAGATATTAGCATAATCATTTTACAGATGACCAAAATGAGGCACAGAGAAATTAAGATTTGGCCAAGGTTATGTAGCAAGAGAGTGGTAGAACCAGATTTGAACCTAAAACTCTTAACTACCAGACCAGTTCCTTTAACCACTAATTTAGAGGACAAAATATGGATTTCCCCCTGCTATAAGCCACAAATGAAACATTTTCTTCCACAGACCTCAAATGTCACACTCAAGTTATAATAAAAATCACAATAGAAAATTTAAAAAATTATTTGTTAAAATGGCACAATAAACCTCTAAAATGAGTGAGATTTGCCTCAGTCATCTTCTTCTATCTACAAAGTCATTCAGCAGCATTTGAAGAGCATTTGGAAAAAACCAGAAGATCAATCTAAGCTGAGAGATTTCAAATAATTTAAACATGCTAAAACATGCAATGTTTCATATAGAAAGAAAATTGAATTCATTTCTAATTAAGAGATGTTTTCATTTAGAAAATTTTCATTTGGGATGAGAAATCTACATGGGCTCGAGCCAAAGCAATACTAAAATCAGGAACATTTTGTTTTCCTTGTTGTTACCTAAATCTTGCTGAATCAATTTTCTTAGTTGTCGTGATAATTCAGAACAATAAAAGACACTGTGCAATATTGTGCAATCTTTTAAAATGCCAATAAGAATTATATCTGATAAAAATACACACAAATTTTACAACATAAAATCTTTATCAACTTTTATATCTTACAGCTTAGAATCACTAGCTAATTTCCTTTTAACACTAAATAAAAGTTCCAAAATCAGTACATAAACTCGTGATTTAATCTATTTTAGAAAAGAAAGAAAAAATTTCTGTGTGAAGGGAGTTACAGAAATGTCAACTGAGCACTCAGTAGTTGAAATGTCCGAGTTTTGTGGAGGTTTCAGGTTAAAAGCTAAGAGAACCACAAGCTGTTTTTCATCTCTGAGTGATCCGTGCTTTCTCGTCACATACCTGGAGTAAGAGATTGGTTCTGAAGGAAAAAGCCGGGCTGCTGGGGCTGGCCCACGAGGTTGTAACCCCACAAGGTGGACTGTGGATGGTGCATCATTTGGGAGGAGATAGGCGAGTAATTAGGAGGCACTCGGTATATGTTGCTCTGTGGATATTCCTTCAACATAAAGTTTTTAAAAAAGTTACTTAACTCCACATTTCACACAGCTAATTAACGCAAATAACTTCAGTAAGCTATCTGAGGTACCTTCTATCCCAATGTACAAAGTTATTTTTTATAAAGGAGAAGATGGAAGGAAGAGTGTTAATAAATCCCCTGGAAAATATTCATTTGAGGTAAACTTTTCCTTGACTTAGAAAGTGCTTGGCTTGCATCGGGCAGAGATGGAAAAGGATCTCTTCTGAATTCTATTTCAAAAGACTACAAGTGTGTCAGGAATACCAATACTGAACGACACTCATCACTGAAAAAGCACCTTCAGTTGCTAAGACTCCTGATAATTTCAACTTAGAATGCCTTTTCGGTATCTTGGGTCTGCAGAATTATACCAGAGAGTCCTACAGTGCTTCAGAACCACTCCTTGGCCAAGATGGTATTTCACTTGCAATTTTCCAGATATCATTCTAAAGAAGTAGACACTCCCCTCATCCCCCATGCTTCCTCTACTTTATAGTAGCTGCAAAGCCTCCAAGGATCACACCTGAAGGTCTCAATTTCCCAACCTTCCCTCCTCTAGTCTAGCCCTAGAGGATGGAAGAGAAACAAAATCTCATTTCCCTGCAATTTTACCAGAGTATATCTCATTGAAAAGAGGCAGCTTCAGGAAGAATAGAGGAAGAGGGGACATGACCAGAATGACTTGGGGAGCAGGATGGGTTTCAGGGCTTTTGCATCTGAGAAGAACAAAAGCCCATCCATATGGACTGACAGGCTGGAAACCCCAAATTTGAGGAAGTTTCAGTCTGGACCATTTTAAACATCCCTTCAAGGCAAAGGAATATTGGTAGGAAGACTGAATGAGAAGAGGGTACTGATGCTCAAGTGGCATCCTAAAGTGGTGGTGGTCATTTCTAGAATAGTATTAATCACCAAGCTATCAGCTAGGAATAGATGTATTTTAGTTCTCACACAGGTAAACATAACCAGTCATGAATATCTGAACTAAATGGTGAATATTTCTTCCATTGTGCAGCAAGAACGCCGTGGAATTTCATTTAAAACGTCTCGAATCCTCTATCAAGTATTTTCCAGGTTTTAATTTAATTTAAATAGAAAGACATTTTACGCATTACTTCTCAAGGTTTATAAAATTATTTCTAAATTGCCATCAAACAGATTTCTGTTGTAATTAAAACATTGTTATACGTGGGGAACACTAATAGAGAAGCAAGAAGTAAAACTATTTTAAATTAGGTTTATTTTCATCTTTTATAAAGCCTAAAGCATGGTACAGAAGTAAAATATATAGGAGGGTAAGATGGAATAGTAAAATATAAAATCTCAGGAACATCCCATTGGCTATGTTAACTCCAACTTTTATTGAAGAAAAAGCAAATAGAGCTTTCAATGTTTATTTACTGAAGATATCAACCACTCAAAATACAATAAATATTTTAGACATAAGTATGTGAGAGAATGGGATTGTATAGTTCAAAAAATTGAAGTTTCAAACCCGAGGAAATTGGGAGACACTGAAATATTAACTAAATATCACAATGGAAGCCTACAATTAAATAAAAGTATTAACAGTGGAGGAGGGAAAATCAAAAGCTTTAATCTTGTTGTCTGTGACAAGTCACTGTGTGCCATTTAGTTAATTACTGCAGAAACCTGTTAGGAGAACTGTCATAACAAAACTTACCCTGCTCTTGGTAATGTTTCAAGGGAAATGATTTGAGCACGAGTAAATCTCATACTAAAGGCTAATGAGCCAGGGTTCTCCTTCCTTCCCCTACTTACATCAACTCTTGAGCTAGATTTCGTCTTGCGCTTCCTTCCCTTTGTTTTCTTTTCTTCATCTGTTGTGGTTTTTCCCTGATCTGACAGCTCAGCTGACTTCCTTTCTGGTTCCTGAGAAACTGGAGATGTGGGCTCTTCCTCTTCCTCCTCAGGAGGCAGGGGCAGTGGCTGGAGGTAGTAGCTGCGGGGCTTGGGCATGGGGTGTGTGTGATACAGCAGGAGGTGATGCTGCTCCTCGTACTTGATTACTCTTCGGTCCACTCGGACTGTCCCAAACCAGGCCCAGGACAGAGGAGCTGGGTTCTTCTGACCCTCAAACAAGTCCCACGGGGACACCTTCTGCTTCGTAGAGACCTGGAGACCCTGTGGGAAAATAGCACTCTATGACAGCACACTCAGATATTTTCCTTATTCATAGTCCAGGCTTGTATGGAACAAAGATTCAGAGAACATTTTGGCTGGCATGAGCCCTAGAGAATCCGAGAATACAGCAGAGAGCATTACACAGCTACATCACTGGAGAGCAGTGGCTAGAATTCAGACCTTTGTAAGCACAGTTCTACAGTTCTTTATACCACATGATGCTCTGTTTAGGCAACACAGGCAGTCTAGGATATTTTATTGTCAATATGTATTTCCTCTTTTTGCTAAAAAAAATTCTAAAAGTTTTTTGCTAAAAATTCTAAGACTGCAAAGTTAATCTTACTAAATTATAACCAGTTCTAAATCTCTGTAATATATTTGTAAGTTTTAAGATAATATGAAATTTAAGAGTCAAGTTATAGTCAACCTCTAAATGGGTTAGTATTAACTTCAATCTAAATCTGTATGAACTTGGTTCAATATGGGAGCCCTGTACTTAATAAGCCATTCTCTCAATATAATATTATTATTAGAGAATTAAATTGTAGCAGCAGGAATAAGTAAAGTCTGTTAACTCAAGCTTATCTTTACTGACTCCAGAAAAACAAAAACAAAAACAAACTGTTACCCTGTTTTTATTCTTAACATTAATTGGTGACATCTCTTGGTACTTGCCTTAAAATGCCAATTTAGAAATACTTTTCCTTAAATGGCCCACCAAATAACTACTTAGTCATTCCCTAAGATGTGAGTGTCACTGTTGTAATCTATACTTATTCTTTTATGAGTAGCTTCATCTAAAACCAAAGTTCAGGCCAGGCACAGTGGCTCAAGTCTGTAATCCCAACACTTGGTGAGGCTGAGGCAGGTAGATCACCTGAGGTAATGACTTCGAAACCAGCCTGGCCAACATGGTGAAACCTCGTGTCTACTAAGAACACAAAAAAAGGCTAGGTGCAGTGGCTAACGCCTGTAATCCCAGCAATTTGGGAGTCTGAGGCGGGTGGATCACGAGGTAAGGAGTTCAGGACCAGCTTGGCCAAGATGGTGAAACTCCGTCTCCACTAAAAATACAAAAATAAGCCAGGCATGGTGGCAGGCACCTGTAATCCCAGCTACTCAGGAGGCTGAGGCAGAGAACTGTTTGAACCTGGGAGGGAGAGGTTGCAGTGAGCCGAGATCATGTCACTGCACTCCAGCCTGGGCAACAGAGTAAGACTCTGTCTCAAACAAAAAACAAAAAAACAAAACAAAAAAAAGTTAGCTGCGCCTGGTGATGCATGTCTGTAATCCCAGCTACTCAGTAGGCTGAGACTGGAGAATTGTTTGGACCCGGGAGATAGAGATAGAGGTTGCAGTGAGCCAAGATTGCACTACTACACTCCAGCCTGGGAGACAGAGCGAGATTCCGTCTCAAAAATAAATAAATAACAAATAAGTAAAACAAAACAAAACCAAGGTTCAATTATCACCTGTAAATTGACTGTTTCCCAATATTTGTCTTGAGATGAGAACTTTTTCCTTGGTGTAAAAACCACATATCCAAATGGATTCCAGATGGCTTACTACCAGGAAGTCCGCTGACACTGCAAACTCAAACTTGACCATGACTTTAGCTTTTTTTCTTTACACAAACTGGTATCAGATTCTCAGACTACTCTAAATTCCCTGGTAAATCTGATTCTTTCATGTCTTCTTATAAACTCTCCCTTTATTTGTACCACAATTTTCCCTACCTCCCAGCTAACTCTTAATCCTTCAAAATGACTCATGTCAATTTTCCTGGGGACCCTATTCTATCCCCTAATACTGTCTCTGTACCATGACACACAAATCTCATCACACTGTAATTGTCTGTCTACTTCCCCCTTCACAGTAGGAACTCTTTCATCTTGGTGATTGTGGAATGTCTGTGGTTGCTTAATGTTCATTAAAAGAATAACTGACCACTTTTCTCAAACAATTTTTATTCGAAATAGCTTACTACATGAAGGTTTTCTTTTTTCTTTTTTTTTTCCCAGAGACAGGGTCTCACTTTGTTTCCCAGGCTAGGGTGTAGTGGCTATTCAGAGGCATGAGCCTAGCACATTGCAGCCTTAAACTCCTGGCTTCAAGCAATCCTCTTGCCTCAGTCTCCCAAATAGCTGGAACTAAAGACATGCGCCACCATGCTCAGCTTACAAGAAATTTTGTATTGATAAATGTATTCTGCTTCTCAATCTGAAGTAAAATCAGAACTTATTTTTGCTATTTTTTTTTTTTTTACACTAAGCTTTTACTTAGTTTCTCTTGGCATGTTTCAGAAATTTACTTAAATTCAGGGAAACATTTTAAGTCCTTTAAACATATAAAATGAAGATCTTCAAAGATATGACTTCTTTATATGATAATGCCAATGACTAAGTACACTTAGAAGACAAGCATATGCCTTAAAAACATCAACAGCAAAATTGAGATATTTCATATATCCTATGGTAAGACAAGAAAAAGTATTTGATTTTTTGTAAATAAATGTATATATGAGAAAAAACATTTACTCTTGCCTGTTTTTTATCTATAGAGTCAAATCCAGCAATTTTGTTTCCTTTTGTGTCAATCAAGGAACCCATAGGTTCACAAGTGATGACATCACATGTCTGTTTCGGCAAAGGTAGTAACTGTCGAACTTTGTCAATACTTTCTGATCGCTTGTCTCCTAGCTCTTTCTGAAGAAAAAAGAGAGAGAGAGAGAGAGAGTGAGTGAGTGAGAAGCGGGACAGAAATTACAATGAAGGCAAAAGTTAACCAGAAAGAAGTTTCCCTATGAAACATTTCCCTTTTTATAGCTTAGCGCATGTTCTTTAACCCTGAACATGGTCTACAAGGCAGTTCCAAATAGAGTAGTGAGTGTTTCATTTCTTCTATTTAAGTAGAAAATAGAACACATACACAAAGGCACTGTTGTTACACAACAAACATCGTAGTGCTGAAATGACAAAAATCCAGGGTAGCAATCACAAGCAGAATGCAGGAGCTGCAGAACAGAACACTTTCTCATGTCCAGGGTCAGATTACAAGGTAACCATTGATTTATTTGATTGGTAACGCATCAGATTTATTTGTTTTCTTTTTGCACTGTTTTCTTACAATTTTTTTAAAAGATTCTGTTAGTGGTCAAATGAATCGATTTATAAATATCAATGCAGATGGTTTTCAATTACACGTGCCAGTCCAAGCATAGAGTTATCCTAAATCTATCTAATGTTAGTATTCTGGTTATACATTCAACAGTGGATTTCTAAAGTTCTTTTAAAAATTAAACATGTTTTATAATATAATTTTAATAAAAAATAATCAAGGTTATGTGCTTGTAACTTCTGGGTACTGATAAGGTTAGGTGAAACAAATAGCAAATAATCACATTAAATTAAGTTGAATACAATTAATAACATTTAATTTAAGGAGTAGTAAATTAAAATGCACTAGATAATAAATCCATGAACAACTTGAGCTCTTAATACAGGCTGATCTCAAACTTACTTTCAGTTTCTTTACTAAATTCATGTATGCACGCTTATTCTCTTCAGATCCCCCTGGGGATGCATTTGATAGGTCAGAGGCTAACGTTCCATTGATTAAAACACCCAGCATGTCAAGAACTGTTGTGAATAATTCACTAAGAAAGAAAGAAAATAATTGTTTTCATCTTAAAGTGAAACTGAAATACACTTATTTAACTGAGTATTTTTATTCAAGGCACAAAATTTTTAATAGTATCCAAGTAAATAAGATGTGGCAGAAATCGTCATCAGTATATCAAAGCTTATACCATGCATACATGTAGCAAGATAAATGTGAAATGACAAAAACATACTTGTTAGTGTGCATGTCAACAGTTCCTGACGTAATGATCTGAAGGAGTAGGAGGGCCCAGTCTGTAGTCCACTGGGTGCTCCTCTGCACCGTGTCAAACATTCCTCCTACCTAGCAGATAAAATACAGTAAAATATTTGCATTCTGTAAAATAGAAAACAACATCCCATTGCTTTATGTGGTCAAATTTTCATTGTTTTTTCTTTAAAAAAACAAGGGATGCTCTAGTTTATAGATTATCTTATCTTTTCTCTCACCTACATGTTTATCACCATTTTTAGTTCTTTCAGCACAGTTCATTCAAAATTAAATAAAATGAAGAAGAGAAGTGAGTATCTGAATGTGGGCACCAATAAACTTAGTTTTCTTTTGTTCCAAATCTTTTATGATGTCCATTTTTATGATGCAATTATAGTTGAATTAAACCTGAATAATGCCAAAGTCATGTAATTCAATTATCTGCAACTTTGTGTTTGCTGTACAATTACTATTGAATCTAAGCCTGCTATCATAATACCATATGGAAACATCCACCAGCACAGCAGTGATGGGCAGGAGGCTTGGCCCGCACGCCTACCAGTTCACATGTTGGGACGAGGTTAGAAACAACTGCAAAAGTATCAAGCAGGCCATCCCCATAGAGGTCTGCACTTGGACCTGCCTGATGGGAAAAGAAAACTCAAAGAAATGCACAATATATGAGAAATTTTAAATTTCTTTAAAACTTCTCTGTGGGATTTGTCTTTATAATCAGTTTGATGGAAAGTTGGACAAAACTTTGAGTTAAAAGACTTTTTAAATGGTTTTAAATAAGTATAGTAGAAGCTAACACTTATAATAGTCTTCTCAGACCTACGCTTAGCACAAACTGAAGAGAAGGAAAGATTCACTAGGGTAGAGGTAAAGAAGGCAAATCAAAGCTTAAAATACCTAGCACTGTCTGGAAGTATGACCAGACAGGAAGGAAAGCAGCAAGGGAAACAGAAGGCTTTAGAAACAGGGAAGTAGTTACAGAGAGCAAAGAGTGGAAGGCCTCACCTTGTAATGCAGACTCTGCACTTAGGAGAAGTGGAAAGCTGGAGTTATTTTCACATGTAGATATGTTTAATGAAGGGAAAATACTAGAAATGTCTCTTACCAAATTTAGGCGGAGTTGCAATGCTTCGTGCATCATCTGCCGCGCTTTTATGTCATCTTGGTATCGTTCTTCTCTCCAGTTACTTAAAATCTAAGATCAGGAAAAAGAAATCTTTTTCTCTCCATTAAAGTTTAATTTTTCTCTCAATTAAAGATAAATTGAGCTTTATACTGATAGCAAAAAGCAACTTCTTATCTTTAACAAATTAAGAAACAAAGCTAAATAAAATTTTAGCTTTCTTCTTCCACTATGCAGACAGAAATCTGGCTAGTTATTTTGCATTTGCCCATCTAGGTGGAAGAAGAAAATCTTATATAATTATATAACCTATGATTAAGTCTGGGAAAATGCTTGAGAGGGCTATCACATTTAGCATTAATAAAAATTTTAAAATACATTACCTCATTGGTCTTATGAACAAAAACACTGGAGAGACAGAATTACATTTTGCCTCAGTCCTGTGTTATATTTCTAGGGACTTGCTGTGAATCCTAGCAAATGTATTATTTTGATGTTTTATAGAAGAGAAGGTCTGCTATCTTATGTATGTGTCTTCCTTGATAAAGTGAATGCACAGTGCTTTGAAAAATATGGCATTGTAGACATTAGCCAAGTGGCTTATCAGTTTATAAAGTGGGCTGCTTCTTCACTTCCTCACTGACTCATACTAATGCTGGAAAAGGAAAAATTTGCTTAGGAAAGGGAGCCACAAGTGGGCAACACCCTAGAATCAGATGACATGAGCAAAAAAAAAATTGCAATTCAAAACAAAAACAAAAAACCACCAACAAAAACCCTACCATGTTCTGAAATATGGTCGTTAATGACAGTCATCTTAAAAGAGTTCAAATGAATCACATGCAGAAGTACTCCATCCCAACAGATGACCTGTAAGTACCCTGCATGGTGAGATGAAAGCACTTCCTAAATCTCATCAAAAGAAATGAACCTCTCCTCAAGGCTGGCTTAAGGGGGCAAGGCAGTTAACTAAACAAGCTCTCATGGAGTTCAAATAATAGTAGTGGGACCAATAAAACTAAGTGTAACAAGTGATTTGAGGCATGCAATGGCATAGAGAATAGCTATGCTTCTACTTTTAGAGGGTGATCAAGGCCTCCCGAAGGAGTTAACATCTGAACAGAGACCTGAATGAAGGAAGGGAGCAGGCCACGCTAATATCTGGAAGGGAATCTTTCCACCAAAAGGTAAGAAAAGATGCACAGGCACTGAAATGAGAATTTGCTCAGCAAGTTCAAGTTCAGTAACATGGCCAGCCAGTGCAACAACAGTGGAGGAAAGAGGGCCATGACTGGTAGGAGACAAGGTAGACGAGAGAGCCAGTGTCAAATCATGCCTGCCCTTATCAGCTAGAATTTTTATATTAGGTATACTGAGGTAATATGTGACTTACATTTAAAAAGGTTCACTATGACTGCTATATCTAGATCTTTCATATCCAAAAGGCGAGAAATGACAACAGGATCAAAAAAGATTTAGTGTCCTTGTCCATGTCCATCTAGTACCATTCGAGGGAAAGACATGGTGTCACAGAAACACAGCGCCACAAGAAGGGGTCGATTAGGCTCTACATCAGGATAAAACACTTCATAAGACCAATCTATCCACTTTATTAATTCCATGCTCTCCAATTTCTACTGTGAATGCTCAGTCTCCTTATAGTACATAGATGCAAGAGCCCCAAACAGTGACCAGGAGAACTGTGTTTGGTGAAAAGGCAATGTCCAAATTATTTCTAAATAAACCAATACGCCTTCTGATTTATTTCTTGTGTATTTGGTTGGCATCAATAAAACTGAGTTTCTGAACCTACAGATTTCAAGCTGAAACTGTGCCTGATAATGTGGCATCCAAGCTTGAGGAGCTGGACTCACTGCCATGTTTACTGCAGCATAGATTCCTCCAGGTCCTCTCCTATGAGGCAAAGTTAGGAGAGGGGCAGATACTTCGAAGTTATATGCAATATGTAAAATATTACTTTTATAGGCTGTACATATTTATTGTACATACCATTAATATAAAGTTGTTAATCTTGTGGTGTCTAGAATGCCAGGTAGAAGAACAGGGCATGGATTGTTTCCCAGCATCTTCTCAAAACATTTTGTACCCTTAATAGTTTTTTTGTTTGTTTGTTTCTGTTTTTTTTTTTTTTTGGAGACGGAGTTCCACTATTGTTTCCCAGGCTGGTGTGCAATGGCGCGATCTCAGCTCACTGCAGCCTCTACCTGCCAGGTTCAAGCAATTCTCCTGACTCGGCCTCCCGAGTAGCTGGGATGATAGGTGCACGCCACCATGCCCGGCTAATTTTTGTATTTTTAGTAGAGACGGGGTTTCACCATGTTGGCCAGGTTGCTCTCAAACTACTGGCCTCAAGTGGCCCACCAGCCTCGGCCTCCCAAAGTGCTGGGATTACACAGGCATGAGCCACCTCACTCAGCCCTTTTTAATTTAATTTCAGTATTTGAAAGGCAAATAAATGAATGCCATTAGAAAGATATTTGCCTGGCTTAATATTATACTATACTTTACCTGGTTAACTTGATTCTGGAGAGATGTTAGGAGGCCTTCCCTTTGTTCATCTTGTCCCTTAAGGCAGGTAAGTACCAGTGAGAGGAAGGGTTGTTGACTCAAAAGAGACATACTACAAAGGAAGTAATAACAGCAGATCTAGTTAGAAATAATGCATTACTTCCTCTGGCAACATTCATTTCTTTGCCTCACTATTAGATAAATAAGGGAAGTGGTAAATAACCAAAGGCTGCTTGAAAATTTAAATCATACCTCTACTTACAAGATTAAAAGCCACTGTAATGCTTCTAAATCATTTGGTATGCTCTAATTGCCCTCGAAGCCATTCTCAAACTACCATCAATCTATACTGTACATGCGCATGCCAGGCAGTGAGGGTAGAAGACAGTGAATTCATGTTCTACATCAATACGCAGGATTTTAAAACATACATCAGAAAGAATATCAATTTATACACAGGATAAAATTAAAAATTTTTTAAGTTCTCACATAAAACTCTTATTTTAGAGTCTGGGAAAAGAGGCCTATATGTCTGTTGAGCTTGTTTTGGGGTTTGTTTTTCAGCACATTTCCCAAGACCAAAAAGCAGCATATTAGTAGAGCTAATTTAGCAGCCAGGACTGATGATTCCAAAAACAGAGTATTTGCTAGCGACCTCTAGTGTGCAGCTCCAACACAGCCCACAGGCTCCAACACAGCCCGCAGCCTCCACTGGTAGAGGGGTGTCAAGGCATTTGGTTAAAAATTCTGTTTTAAATTGGCATTTTAACAAAATGTCCTCAATGAGAAAACAATCAACAAATCATATTGACAAACAAAGCGCCATGTTGGAAAGAAAAATTTCTTAAAATGAGACCTAGGCCAAAATATTTCAATCAGCATCATCCTACATGGGCAGAATGAAGAGCCCCTGACGTGGGAAGAGCAATCTTTCAAGTCTCTTCAATGCCATCTGTCCTGCCTGTGGGAAGTGAGGCAATGCACATACACTCAACTATTAGCAAATATGATTTGAAAATTAAAATTATGCCTTCTTGTTGGTTAACTAATGCTGGCCAAGATGGTAAAACAACCAGATGAAAAACAAATACAATACATACAATGCTGGGTCTCTACCAAAATGTACTGTAGTTAAGAGCACAGGCTCAGAAGCCAGACCTCCTGGATTTAAACCCAGGCTTTATGTCCTTCACTGTGTGTCCTGGAGCAACTCATGTAACCTTTAAGTGCCTCAGTTTCAACATGATATAAAGAAGAGAATGAGAGTACCTACCACATGATTGCTATGATAATTTTAAAAGCTCATAAACATAATGAGTTTTAGAGAGGAGTTGCCATTTTGTAAGCGGTCAATAAATGGTGGCTACTATAGTATTATTCATTAGTGGACAAGAAACCTATATGCTTAAAATATTGTTTTTAATGGAAGAAATTGTCAATTTTTTTCCTTTACTCCTAGGTTTCATGGCATTTTCACATTAGGGTGAGGTTTTGTTCTTTCTCAGTAACACAGTTTTCAAATATAATTACTTGAAACCTTTTCTTGGGTATAAAATAAATTAAGAAAACATTAGTAGTGGTAGCCTAGGAGTTTTAATGTCTAGTCTAGAACAGGAGTCCTAAATGTTAAAAATATGAGCAACTAGTTCAGACACCAACATGCCAGAATTATACATTATATTTATTTTAAACATAAATACCTAAATAATAAAAAAAAAATTAGAAATAATTAAAAATAAAATACAGGGATCAGGTAGCTATCCAGATCTGATTCATTTGGTCTAAAGTGGGTCTCAGAAATCACTGTTTTTAACAGTTCAGCAGTGATTTGGATATAAAGACAGAATTGAGAACTAATGTATTAAGGATTATAACCTGAAACTTTTTAAGAAGACAGCCTTGCCTAACAGAATATTTCCAGTTCCATTTAAAAACTAAATTTCAGTGGACCGTGGGTACAATGACCACACGGGTTTACAGAAAGTGAGACTTTCTCAATTATTCTTTAAACTCTCACACAGACACACATCTTCCAGTCACACCTTTTCTGTTTCTGTCTGTCCCTTTCCTTTTTGGAAGAAGAACCCAAGTGCTGTCCCTTCTCCAGCTCTTCCCCAGCAGCTTTCAGCACTCTTCCTTGCACAGAAGTTGGCAGCCTGGCAATGAGGGGGGCCACCAACCATACGCCCCTGCGTTCGGAGGAACTAAAATCAGAAACAGGTGTTACACCAGAGAAAGCATCCTTTTCCCCGCTCTCACAGTTATAACAGAAACTCCAAAGCAAAACTTTGATGTATGAGACACACAGACTGTTTCAAAATTTCCCTTTTATTTCTGTATTATCTTTCCTTTTTCCGAACACTAGGCATTTGCATGAGCTTTCCACCTAAGCTTACAGAAAGCAATAAAACATGCAGTTCTGGAAGGATATTGTAACTAAACTGATTTTAATGTTTTCCTATGACCCCCACTCTGATTAAAAACAATCACTTTGTCCAACAAACAATACATTTTTCTGTCACAGTTACAATATGAAATACTATATGTAAGCATACTAATAGCTAATTTTTAAGGTTTAAAATTCGCTAGTTATACTTTATGCCAAAATGATGAAATACAAATCAATCTGCCTTTCACGATTAAATAATTACTTTAAGATTTCATATGCCTACTGGTTCTAATTCTGCACAAAAATTATCAGGATATATTTTTGCAAAATGATAAATCACTAAAAATGGTGGAAAAAGTGTTTCCCATATAATGAATACCACATAACACAGTAGACCAAGGGACACTGAAAGCATGAACCAAACCTGAGTTCACCTGCAGTTTCAAGGTGTTTAGGCCTACTCCATCAAATATTCCAAACGCTAAGCTATCATCCACCCCAGCTTTACTCATTAACTTATTAAAATAATGATAATCCCTACTTACAAGTAACTATGTTCTTCACATTCCCGGGACTTAAAGAAAAATCACTGTGCTACACAAAATTTACCGTTACTTGTGAGAAATTCATGATAGATCGATAAAACAACACACAAAAATACCTTAGGAATGTCTTTATTCCATTCTGTCTTGTGCTACTTGTATCAGCACTTCCAATACTGTTTGGGTTGAAGAGGCTCATGCCAGAATTAGAATTATTTAGGTCCGCAGACTGCTGGAATACCTCTATTGTTGCCTTTGCAATATTGTCCAGTAAGTTGTTCATTTCGGCCACAGAACCAGAGCCCTAGAGTTAGATATAAGAATACTGGCACATATGTGTATTCCTTTATCCTCAAACATCAACGTGTTTTGCTTTTTATAAAATTTCATACAGAGATAAGCTTTCAATACAAACTCACAGGGTCCTTCAAGCACTGTTTGATCATTAGCTGGAGTTCTAACCAGGACTGCCTCAGTGTCCACTGCTCAAGATTCTGGGAAAAATGGAAAGAATTAAAACATTATGGGTATCAAATGTGTTAAAATACAGTAATTCCTTACAGTACTCCTTCTCTGAAGAAAGAGCAGAATAATCATACACAATACAAGAATTCATATGAGTCAAAAGGTTCCCAGTCTTGTTGCATATATATTCAGTAGCGACACAAACCAACAAACAGAAACATTAATTATTAATTAAATAGTTAATATTGTGCCTGACTCAGCTATACACTGAAACTAAATAAGCATTTCTCCTTTCAAAATCTATTTAACCAATCCCATTTCAAAATGATTTCAATATTCATTTAATAATATATTTAACATAGCCCCTCTCTGAAGCATATTTCTCATGTAAATACAATACTGACTTAAAATAGCAATATTTGTTTGATGATTATATACAATTTGCAGCATGTATATCCACCCAAAAATAAGGTATGTCAATTCCACAGAAAATGTGGGGAATAAAAATCAGAATTAATTGAAATCACGAATTAGCAAGGACAAAAAAAGAGAGAAAGTAACTCTTTGTATAATTACAAAGAATTTGTCAAATGATAGAAACACAATCTGTATACGACTGACCTGAAGAATACGCTTAATGTGCTGTCTTTGCAGGTTGTCCCCCTCGGTACATTCTTTAATGCCATGAGGATAACAGATAAGCTGCAGTAATTTCTGTGCTTGCATATTTGAAAGCACAGGGTCCAATATAAGTTCTTTGTCTGTACATAATCTTTCAGGTTCTTTTAAGCAATGCTCTCCTACCCATTCCTAAAAATAATAGGGCAATTAGACTGACAGGCACTGGCTTTTGGTATATATATGCAATATGTACTAAATCCACAGTGCATAATTGAACATAAAACTGACAGAAATTTTCCAATTTAAAAAATTACATAAAGTAGGTAGAAAAATTTTAAAAACAAAATTTCTAGCATTTTGACTTCTAAAGAATACAAACTAAAACCTTGCTTAAAAACACTTTTTTAAAGGGAAAAAAGAAAAGGAAAGACAATAAAGAGAATATTAGTATGTTTTTAACTGGAAAGTGAGGTCTTGCTCTAGGTACTATTTTGTGACAGTTTTTTCTAAATTGCTATGTAACGTTCTTCATAATTTTCATGGAAAACATTGTACTATCTCACTGACTAGATAGAACATAGTATAACAAATATTTAGAAAACTATCTTCCATTTTGATACTATTATGAATAATGTTATCATTATAAATAAGTATTCATGCACATCTCTTTTCTATACACTAACTGTCAGGGTAATTTCATAGAAGTGCAATTGTTGGGTCTAGTGTGAGTAGGGGGGGCTATAGATGCATGGGGCTAATGACCCTCTGATGAGTTTCTACCAATTTAAACTCCTATTGCCTTTTCTTTATCATTTGTTTCAAAGGCAAATTATTATACTAAATAAAGTAAGGAATCATCAACAGTAACAGAGCCCAATTTGAACCCAGATCTATTTCGGGTGAAGTCTGTTTCTTAACCACCATACCAGTGGCTCAATGCTGGTTGTCCACTAAAATTACCTGGGATCTTTATAAAATTCCATGCCCAGGGCCCACATCAGACTAACTAAATCAAACTCAGGTGGTGGCACCCAGATATCAGTAATTTTTTAGGCATCCGAATTGTTTTAAATGCCCCAGGTGATTCCAATATGCACTCACAGTTGGGAACCAATGCACAATTGCCTCTCAATACTTATATGACTATGTAGCTAACTTTTACCATAGTTATAACATGCCTGTAAAATACAAAAACACGACCCAGTAGATATGACATCTATAGCAAAGTACAAAATAATATATAAGGTATGTCACTTTTTCGTATAAGAAAAGACAACTTCTTAAAAAATATATGGGAGGGAGAATAAACCAAAAAATAATAAAACTGGATCATCTGGTAAGAAGGATATGGGAGGGAAGACACATCTCTGAGTATACTTTTTTGTATAGTTTCATTTTTGGAAGTAAGCTATCCTATAGACAGAGCTGGGGGCAAGAAAGGAACTTAAGGCAAAACCAAATGAACCCAGTTCTATTTCAGATAAAGAATATATTCAAAGGGATGGGAAAAGTTCCAATAATTTTTGAACACAATATTTTAAACCCTTAGAGGAAGTGGAATTGCAAACGAATCTTCAGCTCCTTTTAGGAAGGTTTGTTCTTCCTAGTGGTATGTGTGTTGCGTTTCTTTCTTTCTTTGAGAAAGTGTCTTATTCTCTTACCCAGGCTGGAGTGTAGTGGCGCAATCTAGGCTCATTGCAACCTCCACCTCCTAGGTTCAAGCGATTCTCATGCCTCAGCCTCCGAAGTAGCCGGATAACAGGCATGTGCCACCACACCTGGCTTATTTTTGTATTTTTAGTAGAGATGGAGTTTCACCATGTTGGCCAGGCTGGTCTCAAACTCTTGGCCTCAAGTGATCCGCCTGCCTCAGCCTCCCAAAGTGCTGGGATTACAGGCTCGAGCCACTGCGCCCTGACCTAGTAGTGTACATTTTTGATACTGTATTCTAATTAATCATTTTTTGACAAAGCACTGGATAGCACATTTAACATGCCCGGCCATGTGTACCATTTTAAAACTATTTCAGATGTATTATAGAATTAAACAAGTAAATTGATGTTTTTGGGAATCAGCATTCTTACTATGGAAGAAGGTGATACTAATATGAATTAAAGGAAAATACTTTGCGGGGTTGGGCTGAAATTGAAGGTATCAGTAGGACCTCATAAATATATATATTTACATATATTTATGTGTATGGATATATTTTTCTTCCTAGCTTTGTCTGCAGATGGGTCCTAGAATTAATGATACTCCATAACCATGAGCATACATAATACCCAGATCTTGATTTCTAAGTACCATTCTCTGCTAAACAGAACCAAGGGCTCCTTGGAGGAATAGTTGATTCCAGACCCCGGGCACAGAAAGTACAACATGGGCCAGAAACTATGAAAATACCATCTATTTTTTAAACGTCAAATGATGTGATAGGATGAATCGATTCCTGCTGGACAAATCTGGGACAGTCTGAACATGAAAATAACAAAGTACAGTATATTATAACCCATATGGCTAATAAATAGATAAACAGGGGAGGAGGGCAGGCTCTTCCTTAAAACAGGACGTACACTGATATTATGAAGGGAGAGGAGGAGCAGGGGGAAAAAAAAATCACCATTTTGCAACCGTCATAGTAAAGACTAGATTGGGCAAGAATGAAAATGAATGCTTATGACGGGTGGGGGAGTTAGATGAGGAGGAGAAAATTTGCACTGTCTCAAAGTATCTCCTCAAAGATTGCTTATTGCAAGGGGAAAATTAGTAACTATACAGTGGGGAAATCTTGAAACTATACAATGGAAACACCTTAATCAAAATTAATACCACCCTTGAGGTGCAAATGGACATCACATGCCTTCAGACATGATTACCTGAAAGAACTCAAGATTACTTCTGTAGTATCTTGGCCAGGGATGCATAATCTGAAGCTAATCTACAGGAAACCTCAGACAAATCCAACAATACTGGGACAATTAACAAAATCGAACTGTGGCCTATAGATGAGAAAAAATTACTGTACCAAAAGCTAAATTTTCTGATGTTTAATAGCTATATTTTGGTTATGTTATGAAATAATGCAATATTCAAAAGAATAAAATATACAATCTACTCTTAAATGAATGATTCAGAAAAAAATAGGTATATGCACCCATATCTCCACATACAAATTACAAAGCACATGTAGCAAAATGTAAAAATCGGTAAATCTGTGTAAAGGATGGACATGAGTTTTTTAAAAATAATTCTGGCAACTTTGCAGCAAACTTAAAATTATTTCAAAATAAAGTGAGCAAGAAAAAAAGGACCACCTATGCACAAGTTTCCTACAAGTGTAAATAGCTCTCTCCAAAAGAAGAGTTACATATTCAAAGTAAAAGGCAAATTAAATTAGAATACCTGTTGACAGATAGTCCTTAGTACGTATCTAGCGTATTCTCTTAAATTGGCAGTTTCAATGGAAATGCTTTTCCCACAGGATTTTGGATTTTGTGAGGCAGTCCAGATATCATCAGCATTCCCATCACATCGCAAACCTCTCATGGTGAAGTCATCATTCTTTAAAGAGCTGACACTGTTATTGCCAATTTTGGCATCTCCTAAGTAATAGAATCACAAAAGCAAAATCACAGAAGTTCAAAATATTGCCAAATATTTGAGAAGCAAATGAGGATAGCTTTCAGGGATTTAAAATATGTGAATATTATTATTATTGAATAGCCAGTTGTTCAGGAATAGAGAGAATGGATCAAGATAATAAATGCATGAACCCAGAGAAGTTTTTATCAGAAATGGAGAAAAAGCAAGTTCAAGACTCAGTCCTTACTTTGTTTGTATAATTATAGTTTCACCAAACTTGGAAAGGCCATTATGAATCACACTAAATAATCACAGAACATTTGTTTCACCAATATTTCAAGCATGAATGTATTCAAATTCATTTGACTTATAGACAAGGAAAAAATGGGTTACTCACCCTTCTAGATGTCCCTTTTCCATTTCTTCTCTTACAATGACTTATTTTCTATCCATAGGTCAAGAGAAAAGTTTTGCCTTAGCCCACCTTACTATCAACTTCTTGACAAGAGAGATTTATTTCCCTGGGAATGGAAAAGGGCAATGCATACTAAGGAAGCCCTGAAAAGTAGGGCATTCATTGAATAACCCCTGTTTTTTACCTTCCTCTCTGTAACATACAAATAAGAAAACCTTACCTGATAAATCTCTAGTATACTTAGTGAAATGAAGCTAAGGAAAGTGTTTTCTTCATAACAAAGTTCTGGGAAAGAACCTAAACAGAATGTTTGAATAGCTAGAAATAAGAAATCTCTAGCCATGAAAGACAAATAACTATCGCATTTTAAAAGTGAGAGAGTAATAAAAATTCAAAATGAGGATTGCCAAATGACAGCACAGCCTTCAAACTTTTGCCTGTTTACTCACAGGATCACAGGCCTTGACGAGAAAATTTCCTGGAACCAACACATGCTTTTACAGTAGGCCTTCACTGCCTGCAGTAAGTGGGCAAAACAATGCCCAAATTAATGGAAAAAGCCTTTTAAAACCCACAAGTCAACCAAGAAAAAGTTTTGACTTTGCTGAAAAATGGCTTAATGAGTATTTACTTACAAAATCTTAAGCGGAGGAGAGGAATAAATAATGAATTTCAATTTATCAATATATAATCATATGTTTCTCATTAAAATACAAACACAGAGAGTACCAACTTCACTTTACCCACAGGATTTAATTCAATAGATCGCTTCAGAAGCTGAAAGAAAAGACTAAATTCTAAAAGTACCAAAATGTAGTAGTATGCTTTCACTACCGTTAGGTGATGTAAACAACTACCTCTATACTTTGAGTTAAAAATTGTAGAAATTAAAAACTAAATTTGATATAATGGTCCCACCTCCCTAACTCAAAATATATCCTGGTGGATAGGAATTGAGAATTGGTTAGGGCATGGTAGGGTGGATAAATTACAGCTTCTGCAAATAAGAGAAGAAAGGAAAAGAAAAGAAAGAGAAAAAATCATATCTTCTAGCCCCATACCAGGAGATCCTCATTTAGTTTAGACGTTAGGATAACAGAGAAGGTATGAGAGTCTGTGCCAGACCTTCTGCAATTCCACAGACAATAGAATACATTGAGTGTTCAGTGCCCGCCTGGCTCAAAGCTCTGCTGACATTAAACTGACCTGATCCTGACTTCTTAGACCCAGGGAATCTTCCAAATTACGTAAAGAGGTGGGCAAATTTTACTTGAGGTTAGACCAATCCTACAAATCATGGGGCCAGTGTCTAGAAGGTACTCATCTTGGTTTCCGCAATTAACACGTGTGTCACTTACAGATTCACACTTCCAACATAATTGTATTGAAAACTCATTCTTTGCTAGTTTCTCTGATGAGCACTAGAAATACCACAGGCAAAAAGCTATTCCTATCTTCATGGTCCCTACATTTATTTATTAAGTAGAACCGACCAACTGACTTTCCCTGTAAATATGATTACAGTAGGGAAATTTTACTCACTGAAATGAGCATTTAATGTTGGCTGTATAAATCTATAAGCCCCTACACTCAGAGGAGGCTGTGGTCCTTGATGTGGCTCTACCTTCCCTTTTTACTACAAAATTCACAGGCCTGTGTGTGTATCCTTTCTTAAGGTGAAGTTTTGATAGATGGTTTTTTGAAAATTCTGTTATCCTTCCTCATCATCACCAAAAAATATTTCCCAAGCAGGGCAAGATTATAGCCCGAAACATGTTATTTAGGACTCATCTAAAGCAATTCCTATCCATTCAGTAATTTCTGTTCTAATGAAGGCGAGCTACTTCTGAACATAAGAGTCAAGACAAAAGAAGGTACCCAAAGTTAGAATTAGGCAGTCTGAATTCAAGACTTTCTAATTATTCAAACCCTTTCTGATTTATAGAATAATGTTTTAATGTATTACCCTGGAAATGAAGAGAAAAGGCAGTGCTATTATTCCAGGAGAATACTTACAAATAAGGATGTAAAGAACATCTTGGACATTATGAATTAAATGAAAAAAAGTACTGTGAAATTTAATATTGATTTATCAATAATATCAACATCATTGCAACTACTGCATGGGTCACCAAAAAACGAAGTTAGAAGGAAATATACTTGTTCAGGGTCATGATAGAAGCAGAAACACTAAGATTAAAACTCAGACTTTCTGGTGTTCTGCTCCTGAAACATAATCTGGATAAAATGTAAATGTTTAGTTAGATTACCAAGTCATCTCTGTCTCTCACAAAGTGTGATTTCTGCCACCAAAGAAGGCAAAACAACCCTGTGGGTCTGAGGACCTATTTTATATCAGAATAAGACATTATGCCACTAAAACACCATACAAAATATTATATGTAAGTTCCCCCAGAGACACTGTAGATAAGGGACAGAATCTTCAGAGTCTTATGTATTTGGTCTAAGAGAAACCAATTAATTTTTCCAGGAGAATAAGCGATCAAACAATATCATATTTCCAATAATATTACTAGATTTAAATCTGAAAATAAATTATTTTGCCTTCATTTCTGGTGATTAACCAAGAAGCTTAGGGTCAGAATAATCTTACCAAGCATCATAATTGCTTTTAAGACAGCAAACACGGCTCCCACTTCAATGCTGTTGTGAGCAGCGGCTAAGAGGTGTCTATCACAAGATGATCTTATTCCGGGGAAAGGTTTGCCTACAAAAACAACAAATCTTTAACAGTCTCATCACCATCATTAGTAATGTTTTGTAATTATTTATAGGCAGTCAGCCTTTCATTGTTAGACTGTGGGTGCTTAATTGCCATTAGTTTGCTTTAATTGATGCTTCATGGATTCACTAAGAAACACTGCCAGTACTCCTCACTTATCCTTTTCTTGTTATTTACTAAAACAACGTCGTTCCTCCTCAGAGATACATCAACAAGATTAGTAGGACTTTCACATACTTGTATTGATTCTCACACAGATACATGCATATCTATATGGAAATGATCTTTAGGAAAAGACTTCACCAACGCCCCAAAAATTCTTACTTTATTCCTTCTACTTAGTACAAGAATAAATGAGGGCTGGGTGCAGTGGCTCACGCCTGTAATCCCAGGACTTTGGGAGGCTGAGGCAGGTGAATCAAGAGGTCAGGAGTTCAAGAACAGCCCGGCCAACATGGTAAAACCCCCATCTCTACCAAAAATACAAAAATTAGCCAGGCATGGTGGTGCATGCCTGTAGTCCCAGCTACTTGAGAAGCTGAGGCAGGAGAATTGCCTAAACCCAGAAGGCAGAGGTTGCAGTGAGCTGAGATCACACCACTATACTCCAGCCTGGGCGACAGAGTGAGACTCTGTCTTGAAAAAAATAAAATAAAATAAAACAAAATAAAATAAAATAAAACAAAACAAAACAAAATAAATCACCATTGCCCTAAGCTGCTGTGGTGTGGTTCAGAGCCAACACACACAGTATGTGAGAGGACCATGCTGCCCACCAGCATGGCTTGGCCTAAGAGCAGAGGTATTTTTATTGCTTATTAACTCTTGATTCGTATTTCTCAATAAATCCTGATATTACACGGATAAAAGGTGCTGACAGCCCTCTCAACGAATGGTATCATCTCACCCTTCATCACCCCCAGGGCATGCCCAAAAAATTAAGAAGGCAATTACAGAAAGGGACAGCCTATTTGGTCATTTCAGAACCTTTAGCTACCAATGAAAAGGTAATCAGATTTTTCAGCAGTCAGCTCACCCGTGGCTTGAGGTAAGAAGCAGGCCTGGGGAGCTCGGAAGAGATGAAGCAGGAGTCGGCATGTCATTCTCGCCCCGGGCTCAGCGTCCGCATCTCCACAAGCTAGGAAAGGGGGATTGGAAAAGCAAGTTTTCTAACACACTTGGGAACACGTCCTTCAGGTTTCCTATCAAGCTAACTTTCCTGGAATAATTTAAATAAATTTTCCTTATGGTAAGAAAGTGAGGCCCTGGCTATTTTTCTGAGAAATCTTAGTGCTTCCTTAAAACAGACTGTAACATAGCAGTTTCCCACCTTTTTCATGGTGATCCATGTTAATTTGTATACAACAACTCTTACAATTCTACTATATCTACCTTGACACTACACCACTTCCCAACATACATACCCTCAAATACTCCTTTCACTGTGTTTTAGCGTTAGAAACCACTCCATCAAGACAACAATCAAAGAGCAACTGAAGTTCCTGGATGCTGCCTTACCTGCCGCTAGAAGAGAGGGAAGTGCGACATGCTGCACGACGTCCTCCAGGGAAAAACACTGTCGTGCTATCAGAATAGCAATGAAAGTAGCTAATGAATCATGGAATGAAAGGTCACTCACCTTCAAGAAAAACATTGACAGGTTTTAATACCTAACAACCTTGTGAGTAGTATCTAAGATTAATAACTAAGAGAATGTAGGCAATACCAATAAGATCTCAAATCCCAACATGAACCAACAGAGGGAAATGACAACATATCATGATGATTATCCTCTAGGCCTATTTCTATTTTATAAAGCAATGAATGAAGTTTACCCACATTCCAATGCTGTAAGAAAATACTGAGCTTTGACTTGCATACATGCACATGAAAAACAAAACAACAAAAATGCAAAATCAGGAAATCACTACAAGATGTAACATCATTAAAACATTTTGGCAGAGTGCAACAAGATATATCATTAAGAGTCAGACCATCAGAAGGCAGGGAAAAACCAGGAGGCTCCCCGCTAGTTGAAAAACAAGCCTCACTAAGGTTTTGGAGTTCCTTTCAGTGATAACTACTAAGGATTCTTTAATATGATAAAACTCATTTTAAAAACAACTCTGAAAGTTTCCAATTGACTCTTAAATTTAAAAAGAAGAAAAAGAGACAGAGGGGAAAATTAATTCAGTCACAGTGAAAAATTTACCTTTCTAGATCTCATGTGACCTTGGCAGAAAATAACAGGAAAAACAACTACAATAGCAATCTTCATACTGATTCGTATCATATGCCAAAGACTATAGTTAAATTGCAAAAATCACCTTATTTATTAGCACAACGCCATAAGGTTCACACTATTATTAATCCCAATTTTTTAGATGAGAAATTGAAGCAAAAGGTAAAGTGTAATTTTAAAAAAACAACTAAGAGATTAAGAAACTATATTAAAGAAAGTCTGTTCTGTCCAGAAAAGCAGGCTACATCTATGAATTTTATATACATAAATTCATAAGTTTTCATATAATGAAGATGTAGAAATAGGATTATCCAACCAGTCCTGATTAGCAGAATTCAGAAGTAAACCTTCAACTGAGAGGCAGGTATAAAAATATATAAAGAACTATGCATAAGCGATACTAATGTAGGACAAAGGCTACTCCAATAAGTGGCAACAGGAGAAGTAAAGAATCAAGACAGATTTTTAAAGAAATACACACATCATGGATGCAACATGACATCCAAGGAAGTCAGTGATATATACGAGGGGTATCTCTTTATCATCTTCCAGGCATAATTGCCAAAAAACACTGGACACTCTCAGAAAAAAGAGCTGGACATTCTTATGTAACCCCACAAAGCCTTTATTTGTACAGCGCGTCTTGCACTTAAAAATATCAAAATGGTTCTCTTCAGAATGTGAACTGCTTTAGTTAGATTATATCTCATGCTATGAGGAACCCAGGGCAGTTGGTAAAAAGAAAAAGCAGCTCTGAAGAGACCAACCATATGGAAGAAATCTCAACTAAATGGAAATTTCAGGAAACAAAGAAATTCTTGATCCCTCTGCTACAGATTAAACTATGCATTCTATTTATTTCTATTTTTTTCATGTATTTAATCCATGGCAATGTCATTGTGGTTTATTGCTTTTGGAGAAAGAAATGATATTTTATAACATTTCAGTTGAATCAATTAAATAAAAGCCAAAAGCAAAAAGATTAGCCACTAAATATTTAACTGCACAGTTCAATTTCTAAATGAAAAAGAAAACTTACATCTACAGTGCAAAGTACATCATTAAACCCCCACACATGATTTGAAGAACAACAAAGAGCCTTCAGAACCCCCAGCCATTCTGAACTAAGAACAGTGCAGCAAGCCGTAAGCTCGGAGGAGAAATTGGCTATGTCGTTAATCCTAGAAAATAAAAAGAAAACATAGAAAGTAACCTTGTACAAAAGAGAAATACTCACCTGTGATATACTTAATTAACATATATTTCATTAACATCAAACAAGTCATTTTCTTAGATTCACAGATAACTCATTTGTCAAATAACTTAGTAGAACCTTGAGAAGATAAAAATGGCTTCAAATATTTTTGACAATTAATGCTGTTAAGCAACAATCAGCACATATATGAATTAGAATATTTTTAGTTTTGTGAATAAATCTGAGCTACGATTTACATTTTTAAGGGCATCAAAAAAATTTATAGATACTACGTAATTTAGGTGGACCCAAATACAGTTTTTTTCAAAATATAGGCATTTTTATTTGTATTTTTATTCTATGTTTTTGAAAATAAATCATGTAATTGTTGGCCATATTGAAAACATCTCATGCCAGCATAATAAATCAGAAAGCACTGTCTCTGAGGTTAAGGAAATTATAAGATAGTGCAGAGGTAAATTAAGGAATAAAAGAAGATTTAGAAAAAGCAAATGAGAGCCAAATGTGAGTCCAGACACTTACTAATGACATCAATTTCAAAGAAGCACCAAGGCAACAACTCTTTGGTTAATCATGAATTCCAGGGTAACCCATCTCACCTGCCAGCATCCTGATGGCCCATACATACATTCATGAGTGTATTGCAGACAAAGCTGTAGCGATTGGCCGCATTGTCACTGAGGATCTTGCCCAGCATTGAGTAGTTGATGCTACGGGCTGAGGGATTCTCAATAAAATCCATCATGAAGTCCGGATCCCAACGCAAGTTCGAATTTGCAGGCATCACATTATTATATATGGTTTGCTTTACTTTTGAACAGGCACTACTGAGGTTATAAGAAAAAAAGTTAAAACAGAAAAATAAAACTAGAATAACTAGAAAACTATTTCACTTAAGGATATATTAAATGGCAGGAACTGTAATGCATTCCTAGAGATGATTTACATTATAAGTTCTTAATTTGAACTTCTTACTAATTGGCGTTAATCAAAGTACTTTGGAATGTACAAATTCCTCAGTAAATAATTTCTAAGTAGGTGGAACAACAAAACAGAAATGAGGTATTTGGTTACAAATCTTAAGTATTTCCAAAATATGGTCTACATTTTACATGCTTTAAAAATCAAAGAAATTACTATGGCTTCCAACAACTGTGTCTTAACAGTTGTTGAAAAGTGTTATTACTTAAAAATAAAAAAAGGATTCAATTACACATAAGGGAAATTTTGTGTTACTCTTAATTATACATCCTACAAAACTATTCCTCTGGTATAGTGTACGCAGTAGAAGTTCGTGTGCCAAGACTATTCTGGAAACTGCGGCACAGCTGTGAAGAAGAGAGGCACATTCCTTGCCTTCAAGGAACTTATATTCTAGTAAGGGGATATGGATAATACACAAATTCTATGGAAGTGAAAAAAGTATTATATCATTCATAAAAACTTAGCATGTTGTATTTCTCAGGAGCATTAAGAGATTTTTAAAGAGCCTGGTCTATCATATGAAAACAGTTCATGTTTCAGTGAGTTATGTCTGAATCACATATAGACTATTAGAAATATAAAAGGAATTAGAATCTATCTCCTCCAAACCTGCTCTGTGAATGAGACTGAGAGACTGATGTGATGTAAAAGTTCAGGTTCTATATGAACTTATCCATTTGTGCTTACCTTCTGTAGGTAGCAAATTCATAAACAACATTCACCTTTTCCATTCAAAAGCTCTTTTATGCATCAGAAAGTCTGTTTTATAGATTAAGTTTCTGGCAGTAAATGTATTCCTGGTTTGTGGTGACCTACGGCTTTCTTTATAAACCCCATATTGTTACATACTTGCATCAACGGTAGCCAGGAATGAGTCCCTCAAAGATGAAAAGTCATAAGGACTCTCTATCCTAAACTATTGCCACTGTCAACAGGTTTAAGAAAACAGAGATTGTTCAGTTCAATGTTTAGCAAAATGTAGTTTCACCTCTACTCCTTGAGAATCACTTTTGTGGTGTTTGTTAAAAATAAAGAATCCTGGACCTCCACTGTAGGTGTATAGAGTCTGTATGTGCAACAAGATCTCCCACATATATCAAGTGCCAAATAACACTTGGGAAGCACTAGTCTAAGAAAGAGGACTGAAGTCATTTACTAAATGGCAGCAAATACAATCTTCTACATTCTCTTTCTGTGCAGACAACTTATATTTTTAAAAATGTGTTGGCTGTCATTGAAGGATACAAGTTAGCAATTCAGAGTCATGACATTTTCAGTTTCTTGAGGTTGATGTGAGAGTTAAAGCTCTTGATAGAAATAACCCAGCATAGTGCTTGGCACACTGCAGCAGCTCAATCAGTGGTAGAAGTGACCAATGTTGTATCTCCCCCAAATACTCCTCTCATGCAACTGTGTGAATGGTGTTTCAGAAAAAATATTCCTCTCATACAACTTTAGGAATCTTGTTTCAGATAAAATTATTAAAGTTGTTTTATCAGTACACTGATAGAAACATCTGTGTATCTAGCTTTTGTTTGCCCATTTTTCCTCATCTCAAACTACAAATAGGTCTCTGACTTCAAGATATCCCAAGAAAGTTGTATTTCTCTTTCATTTTTTAAATAGAGGAAACTTTAGACAGTGCCAATCACCGTGATGTGCCACTCTGCTGACCCCTAAGTAATTTCTCTATTCACTGCGTGCTGGTACCCTAAATCTCCACACCCAGCGCGTGTTACTTGCATTACTTCATTTAACCTATCTGCACCACACTGCAGGAGTATTAAGGGTCAAATAGGCTATTGGGGCTGTCTGAGGAAGTTCGCTATTAAAAAAAAAGGGCTGCTATAAGAACTAAATCATGTAAGAGAAAGCTCTTTGAAAAATGTAAGCTGAAACAGAAAGCTCTATGTAAACTAAGAGAAGAATGTAAGTATTTTTTAAATTGTGACATAATTTCTGTGGAAAGATATTTCCTAAGACTCACTCAAATATTTCACAAAGGATTATTTTGAAGCCTAACCCATTTCATAACAAATTTTCACACTTTATTAATACCATTAAAAATATGAATTGCTTTAGATAAAACTATCATTCAACAGATTTTTTTTCAGTGCCTACTAAGAGCTACACACTCTTCTAGGCACTGGGATACAGCAGTGAAAAAAATAGAAAAAGCTTCTGCTGTCATGAAGCATACATTCTAAGGAGGAGCTGGGCCACAAATAAATACAGAATCTATGAGGGGGTAGCAAGTGCTGAGGTTCAGAATGATGACATGGGGGTGCTATTTAAAATGGTGTGCTCAGGGAGGCAGTCATGAGTGAAGTGTGGGAGTGAAGCACACTAGTAACTGAGGACAAGTATCACAAGCAATGTAAGATAATGTGCAAAAGCCCTGCCATGGGTCGTTCTTGTTTGATCAGTAAAAAGGTTTGATCAGTAAAAAGGTCTGTGTGGCCAGAATAAACAGAGGGAAAGGGGTGGAAGAGAAGATGGGACCCTGAAGATCCTGAAGGCTATGTAGGGACGATGAATTTTATTCTGAGTGAGTGAAAAGTCATTGAAAGCCTGTGAATCATTCGTGTATTAAAAGGATCACTTTAGTGGGTATGTTGAGAATGTGTTTTAGAGTTAAGGGTGCAAGCAAGGAAACCAGTTAGAAGAGCTCTGCAACGGTCGCAGCAAGAGGTATCCATGGCAGTAAAGCTGAACGTGAATCAAATACAATCTGTAATAGAAACCAGGTTTCCTACTTTTAATGCACATTGATTTAATGTTATTCAGTGAGGGTACTGGTCATTTTTTAAAAACTCATTAACACATGAAAAAGTTATCTGCTAAACAGCAAATTGTTTTTGTAAAAAAGAGGAAAAATAAACACAGTATGAAAAGGTTCTAGAAAATTGAATGGGGCTATAGAACCTTCTATGAGTGACTGGAAATAAAAAATGAAACACTGTAATGCCCAAAGGATATTAAAGCTAATCCAAGTAATGCAAAAAGTCAGCTCAGAAAAGGTGGATATCAAAAGCAAGAGAGATACAAATAAAGCAAAATATTAAGAGCTGCCTCATTGATCTATTAGATTTATAACCCAAACTGAATTTTAAACCTAAAATGGAAAGATACATCAAATAATCATTACTTCAGTAGGACTTACCTAAAATTCATTGTCTGTACAACATATACAGAATGTAAAATTTTAAGAAATACCTTATTCATTGAAGAAATACAATCAAAGTTAGAGAGTTTATGACCTAACATCATTTCAATATCGGGGAAAAAAAAAAAAAAACCTATGATCACACATTTATATAATAGTCTATCGTGTATTGTCCCTGTGTATTTTAATACTCAGTTTAAACAAATCTTGAGTATATCAAAATTACTGCCTAATAGATACAATTGCAATTAGCTTTCATTATTCAAAAGGATGACAATATTGCCAGGGTCACTAACAAACATAGGCATGATCCTATTTCTGTCCTTTTGAGTCTCTTCTACTCACCTGAAGAGGTCTCCAAATTTACTTCTGAGGTGGCTACATGACACATAGAGATCATAGAGGTAGGCTAAGATGCATCTTTCAGGGGAAGAACATTCTGAGGGGTTTACGACATGCTTGACCACACCACACAACCTGAGGAGAAAAATATACGAAGAAATGAGACACATATTTGCTACTATATGGGTTATCATCTGACTCTTTTAGAGGGAAAATATGTATTACTTAGGTAAGAAAAAAGATATCGGATTGTTGAAACTAATAAGTAGAATAGTAAATAACTCAGTACAATATAATTTTTCTATTATGACACTAAAATAGTAGATATAAAAAAAATTTTCAGAAATGTCACTGATGACAAGAAACAAAAGCAATGAAAGAAATTCCTTCATAAAGAAGGTACATATGGAGGAATCCACCAATTAAGTTGCTGTGACTGAGACACAAAAGGAAAACTGTTGTAGAGAGCCCCCGCCTCCTCAGTAAAACGATTCACAAATGCAGTCAGTGTGCAAAGATTCCCAAGTGTTCTCCTTTGTAAAGGAGCAATTCTTCAAAGCAGTCAATCTGGGAAACCCATTTTCAAGTGCACAAGCAGTTCTTGGTTTGGAGTCACATTCCCTTTATGCATGTATACATTCCCCTATGTATATAAACTAGAAAGAAAGTTATTTTAGTTTATCTTATATAAGAAGATAAAGCCTCTTCTGTTTTGTTATATTCTCTACAACTCCTGTAGTTATAGGCCTCTTTGTCCATAGTCCATATAACACAGAAGCTGTACAACCACAGATGTAAACACTCATGGTCCATTCACCTATCTGTGCATCTGATTCCATCACTGTCTTGTATTTTGTTACAGGGCTCAGGCATTATATTACACTAATGGAGTCACAGATGACAAATTATTAAAGATGAAAAAAGCTTTAGAAACTATCTGATTCACCATCCTTATTGTATAAAGAAGGCTCGGAGAGGCAGAAAGGTGGGGTGACTTGCTCAAAGGCAAAGAGCTAGTTCTAGCAGAAGCAAGATGACAGCTTAGGTTTCCAGACTCTCAGATCAAACCCCTCTCTACCATTCAGGGGAAAGGGTGAAGTGGAGAGAGCATAGGATGTCTAGGCCAAGAAGGACAATGGAATCACAGGTACCATAGGTGGAACCAAGGAGACTTCTTGAGGAAATGGCAATGTAGTATCCCAAACCTTGTGAATTGACATCAACAGATGGGATTACCTGGCAGCAGGGAAAAGCTGCCAATTAGAACAAAAGTGTCACACAATTAAGAAGAAAAGTAATGATTCAACCTGTTAATTATACAAACAAGCAAACCAAAAACTATGCAGCCATAAAAAAGAACAAAATCATGCTCTTTGCAGCAACATAGATGCAGCTGCAGGCCATTATCCTAAGCAAACTAATGCAGAAACAGAAAGTCAAGCACCTATTCTCACTGTAAGCGGTAGCTAAACATGAGGTACACGTGGACATAAGGATGAGAACAACAGACACTGGGGATTACTGAAGTGGGGAGACAGAGAGAGGGGGAAAGGTCTGCAAAACTACCTACTGAGTACTATGCTCACTTCCTGATGGTTTCAATCATACCCCAAAACCTCAGCACCATGCAATATACCTTTGTAATAAACCTGTGCTTGTACCTTCTTATTCTAAAATAAAAGTTACACAAAACCCTGTTACTATCTATAAAGCAAAGAATTATCTTGTGACCAAAGTAAATAAACATTTATTGAGAGTCTGTTAGGTTTAGGTATCCATCATATAGTAGTGAGTGTTTCCTCAACTTCTTTGATTTGCCAGCAATAAGAAAAACATTTCACATCGTGATCCAGTGTACTCATTCACATGAGTACAAAGAAGTGAAATAATAGTCTTAAGAATACTTATTCTTACTAATATAAGGTAAAAAATAACAAAGTTGATGTCAAATATGATTTCATGAATATTTAACAGGATAAAAATTTTCAATGCCAAACTAAATGATACTGAAATCAATTTCAAAATAACAACATAAAAACAAAAACAAAAAGACTTGTCACAACCCATTCAATTCATTTCATGACCAACTAATGGGTTTCAACTCACTATTTTAAAAGTAGAACATAGATTAAACAGCATGAATAAGCTTCCAGTTCGAAAGATTTTTATTAAAATCTGTGAGATTTATTAGCTATGTGATATAGGGTATATCACTTCACCAAACACTTAACAGGCCTGAATCTCAATTTCTTGGGATGTAAAGTAATACTAAATTCAAATTTTATACAGCAGTTGAGATAGTAAATAATTCTCTATTTCCTTAATTCTAATATGTAAATGTTCTTATATTCTAAAGTTTTTAGGATGTTTCAGATTTCATTTCATAACACGTAATTAATACAAATAAAGGTAGCATTTCCTCTTCCTCAGAAGAGCTACTGTCAAACTTATATCATTCTAGAATAGCATATAAATTGATTACATGTGCTAGATTAAAACAATAAAAGGTACTATAAAACCAAAGAATCCCATGATTCTTTTGAGCTCAGAGGGAAAAACTGAAGAGAAAGAAATAACAGGTTGCCTTTCTGTGTTTAAATAAAAAGCCCTGGAGAAAGGAGTGGAGAGTGGATAAAAAGCGGCTTATGTAGGTCTTTGAGAGCTCATTACACTAATTTGGTGCTCTTAGCCTCAGTCTTTAATGGGGGTGGTATTAGCTATTTCCATAGTCCAACTTCACTAGTAGAGTAAGCCCCAGCCTACAGCCAAGAATGAAGTCATTTGTTCTAGGTTAATTCTCATCAAAAGATATCTTTAATCAAAGAAATGAAATTGAAGAACCAAATTTCTAAGATGATAATGTATGCAACATTTATCTGATGTTGAGTCTGTAAACATAAACCGAAATTACATGAATAAAAATGTTCCAGCATTCACTATTCATAACATGGCAGGATGCTGGCTAACATTAACCATAGAGTGCTATAAATGACTGGCTTTGTACTCTTAGAAACCAGGGAGAGGGAAGAAAGGCAAGGAAGAAGGGAGGAAGGAATCACACATTATTAGGAAGAACATACTTGACATGCTTAGATCTTTTTGATTAATGTTTTCTGGCAAGATTGTTCTTTATGTTTTAATTAAAACAGGTATCAGTACTATTTTTCTTTTAAAACTACTATAATATTTCATCACTAGTTATACATTCCAAGATTGGAAAAACAACAATGACATGCTGTATACCAACCCTTCAAACACCTGGGCTGTCTGATCAGGATTCAAGATCAGACAACTGTGATAGCGCCTGAGAACAGCCACGATGCAGACACACAGTCCTGTTGTATAACTTCCTGCCAGGCTGGAGGATTTTAGGAGCAGTTCAGCTTCCACAACACTCAGTTCATTTAGTAACTATAACAGGAGAAAAGACTGAATAAAATGTAGGTGCCAAAACAAATGGAGAAAACAGTTATTTTTACAAACCATAGATATACTGACTCATTCCACTACAAATACATTCCCTGAATTTAACCTTTTTAAAATTTTTAATCCTTTTCCAATTCAGAGAGTTGTTCTTCTGTCTAGACATCAGGATGTATACAATCAGGAAGTAGCCAGTGCTGAAATAAGGTACTGAAACTTTATGGCAGTTCAAGGTTCTGGACTGTATAATTTTAGAAAACCCCACCCCTCACTTGTCTCCCCTTTCTCTTTTTAATAAAATGAAAGTTATTTGGCTTTTCTTTTTGTTAACAAACTTAATATCTCCTATAAAATAAACAAAGGAAACCAAGTCTTATTTCTGTTTGCTAATAACAGAAGTAAATAATGAACTCAAATGTGTATAAGAAATAACAGTAGGGCAAATCTCATTATGTTTGTTTGGGCTCTTAATCTAAAACATGCTCTATTATAAAGAGCAAATAAACTTTCATCTTTCCTTAAACAAAATAACAAAGACCAAAAGAAAACAAACAAACAAACAAAAAACAGAAGCAGCACTCAAAACTCGCACATTTTTAAATGGCATATATTTTGGCACCAGTTATAATTATTTAATTGAAAACTATGAACATGACTATAAATAAAATGTTAGTTTAAGACTGTTAATTCACCATGTCGAAATTATTCAAAAAATGTACTATGTCCATAAAATAATGTTAATGCACAGCAACTGGTTCATTTGATTTTTATTTTTTTAATTTTATTTATTTCTTTTGAGACAGGGCCTTGCTCTGTCCCACAGGCTTGAGTGCAGTTGTATGATCATGGCTCATTGTGTCCTTGAACTCCTGGGCTTAAGTGAGTCTCCTGCCCTCAGCTTCCCAAGTAGCTGGGACTACAGGCATGCAATCAGCTCCTTTTTAAATTTTTTGTGGAGATGCGGTCTCACTAAGTTGCCCGGGCTGGTTTAAAACTACTAGATTCAACCAATCCTCCTACCTCGGCCTCGCAAAGTGCTGGAATTACAAACACAAGCCACTGTGCCCAGCTAATTGGCTCACTTTAAACTGCACAATGCCTGGTGGATTTGCTTTCCTAAAAGTGAGAGAAACATGGTCTCTTTGACACCTGTATTGCGAAGTCAATTAGTCCATTGATGTTCAGTGCTGGCTCCATGAGATCAAAGATGAGCTGAATGTGGTGAGCCAAAGGGAGATGATAGGACGTTCCCGATGCAAAGCTTGTGATTTGTTCTAGCACATTGTTAGAAATCTGTGCAAACATAAGCAAAAATATTGTAAGACCAATATTCCAAATAATCTTTTACTAAGATAAATCTTTTTTACTTTTTAAGACAGTTGAATTTACATATGATTCTACTTTGATGAAAGTCAAAACATATTTCTATAGAAACTATGTACAAATAAAACAATTTTTTCATTAACTATAATTTTAAAAGATACAAAAAGTTGTCATTCAGACCTAAATCTTAAGTATTCTAATGGTAGAACTACATTAATTTTAGACACATCCATTTGAATATCAAAGGATTTGTAAAGCAAAACAGATGTGTTTTCTTCTCAATTTCATAGTATTTTATTTCAATCATCAACAGATTTCTCATCAATTGCAATATAGCACCAAACTGTAATAACCTATTTCATTAGCTATTACTTTATATGTCACTGATTATTATCTTAAGGACAAAAAAAATGTACATAATAAAAATTAATCCTTCTGAGGAAGGCAACCTGAAGGAAGGAAGAAGAACTACTCAATAGTCTGAGATACTTCCAAGTATGTTTATAAAATATATGTATAAAACCATTAAGGCTGAGAAAATACACTGCATGAAAAAAATTTTTAAGGAAATTAGAATACTGCAAATGCACAATAAAACAGCTTTAAATGGCTACCTGAGATGTCACTTGATGTTGATCAAAATATGAAAGAAGCTGGAGTTTAGTGAACACAGTTTCCAGTGTTGGAAATGTCTCTTGCTTGTTCTTCCTGGCTTTTTGTCCTTCATCCCCAACTACATAAACATAAAGCAGATCCATTATTTTCCATTTAATAGAAACTCTTGACATTTTTAATGGATTTTTTTTTTAAGTACAGCATACATACAGAAAAGTGCACAAATTATATGAATTTCTATAAAATAAATACACTCACACAATAAGACTTGAATACAAAGTAACAGAATGGAATATCAGAAACTCTCTCAGGCCTCTCTAGGCACCTCTCCCTCCCTAGGAGATCAAAATCCTGATATCTAACATCTTAGATCGCTACTGCCTACTCTGGAACTTTACATAAAGGAAATCGTATAGTATATGCTTTCCACATCTGGCATCTTGCAATCAACAGTATGCTTTTAAGATTGATTCATATTGCTGAGGTAATTTTAATTTGTTCTAAAAACTAATAATTCTCACTTACTTATAGTATTCCAATGTGTGACTGTACCACCATTTACTTAACCATTCTAGTGAGTAGTTTCCAGATTTTAGCCATCATAAAAAGTGTCTTTATGAACATTTCTCACTAAACAACTTTTAAACTACAATTATATCAACAACGAAGGTGGGGAGATCTCCTGGGCTCACTTTGACTTAATCAAACACCTGCTTGGCATCTTCTTTGGAGACTCACCTTGTTACTTTTCTGAAGCGTTTAAAATATTTTTTTAAAAAGAAATTACATGATTCCTTTTTTAATGGCAGCAAAAAATTAAATCACTCCACGTTAATGAAGAAGTGCCACATTTATCAAATTAGCATAAAGAAGTTTGAAGAAAATTCCAATAAAAAAATAAAAATTGCTTATTATAGGGGTACTCTTAACAGTTCTAAGAATATGATCCAAAAATAAATTCAATTCTGTTTTTAAATACTTTAATATTTTGTATTTACAAAGACAAGTCTAAAAACAAAAAGGAAAAGTTGGATATATGATTGATAATGTCATTTCTAGCACTGTGATTCTAAGCAGTTAAAGGCTACCAAGACAAGAGTTCTACTCCTCACACTGTCCTCTTCTTTAGAAAAGTTTAATTTCAGAGAACAAATGTCACTTTACAGATTTCTCTATTAAAGACACAAGAAATGAACAAGATTTCACTGAGCTCAAAAATATTTTGCTAATGGCAAATGTAATGGTCTTAAACAATAACATTAAAATAAAAGACTTCTCTTTCAACAATGAGGAATTAGTGGTTAGAGTCAAAAACAAAATAAAACAAAACACCACAAGGCTGGTTCTTTTCTAATTCCCTAAACAAAGAAACCTTGATGCCAGAGTACATCAGAATTTAAAGGTGCAGGGGTAACATAAGTTACAAGCTTGTGCCACTTTGGCCAGTAACACCAAATATAATGCAAAGATTAGGAACTACCAAATTCATTAAACCTGATTATTTTTTCAACATCTACTCTCAAAAGTACAAATTATATATGAAATTTTGCCTTCACTGTAGCTGCTCACATGTCATGAGCATGTTTAGAATATCCAAGTTTTGAATTTTTCATTTACTAACATCTTTGATCCAAGGCTGAAGAGCTAACATCAACAGCCTTGTGTACAAAATGCCTTAAAAGTGAAATTAATGTATTGATTCAGTTCTTCCTAGGACAAAACAAATAAACAATAACAACAGACTTAAAGAAATAGATCCTACTAAAAACTCCTAAGTGCACCTTTTTATTTGTTTGTGCTAATAGATTCCATTTATCTACATATCACTAACTTCTTAAAACCTTATCTAAAAGAATGTAATTGGTTCTCAGCAATTTATACTCAACAGCAAAATTTAAGAAATCAGTGGTGGTTCTCAATGAAATACCTTATTTTAATGATATTTACATGAGTAACAATATAGTCAATATATATTTTTCCTCATCTTTCTTATGTTAATTTGCTTTTATAACATATTATTGCTCTTTTGTTGCTTAATTTTGATTTTCCTTTTTAAAAATCTTTAAATCCTGGAACTTTAGCCTTTTAAAGGTTGTCATAGTAAACTTCACTAATATTTTCAAAAGATACACCATTGACAACCAAAAAAGGTCAATGCAAATGAAAAATGAAGTTTGATCATTCAACTGGAAATATTATTTGAACTTTATATTATAAATTCACCTAGCCAAGACCTGGCTGATCTGACAACACTCCTAATGAGTTGGTTCCTCAAAATGTTATTTTCATGTGTTCCCAGAAATCAAATACATGCTAACACAAGGTCTGTTTTCCTTACCAGTACTCATGTTGCTGAAAAAAGTGGGCATCTTTCCATTAATCTGAAGTATAGTTAGCTAATTTCTGGAGTATACACTAAATTTTAACTAGTGACTTAAGATTATTTATAAGAAAGCAGCTCACTACATCCCAAATTAATAGCTTTCTGGTTAAGGAACTTTATCTAAAATGAAAGAAAGTAAAAAATCCCCTCCCAACGATGTGGTTCCACAGATGATGTTTCTATTTACTGACAAAGGTTGAGGATCCCTATTCTGAGAATCCAAAATGTGAAATTCTCCAAAATCTGAAACTTTGAGTGTAGACATAATGTCATAAGTGGAAAATTCCACACTTGATCTTATGTGACAGGTCACAGTCAAAATGCAGGCACACAACACAGTTTATTAAGCATCCCCAAGAGAAAAATAAAATTACTTTCAGGGTATGTGTATAAAGTATATATGAAACATAAATGAGTTTCATGTTTAGACTTGGGTCTCATCCCCAAGATTTCTCATTATATATGCAAATATTAAAAAATGTGAAAATATCCAAAATCCAAAACCCTTCTGGTCCCAAGCACTTCATATAAGGAATACTTGACCTGTTTCTCAAAAGGCAGCACAGAACAAAAATGTTTTTCACTTTGTGAGTTCATATGCTAGAATTGCCTATTTGAGGGATTGCTACAAAGACAGGACAAACTACAGTGTGGCATTAAAAAGCTGTGAAGGAAGTTAGTAGGCTCAACAGAAAAGGATACCTCATTGCTTCCTTCCCCTTCCCATACCCTTTAGCCATCTAAAAAGTTCCATAGGATCTGGAAAGACCCTCTAAAAATAATTTAGATGAAATATGTATTACTGAATCTCCTGAAGGAAATACTGACAACCCCCCCCCATTTCCAAGTATACCAAAAGTAGTTTTAAATATTCTTTGCTAGCTAGTTTAAGGGCTTCTAAATTCAATCTTCTAAATGCAACTGTTTCCTCTTTTTTCTAAGACAGAGAAAACATCAAAACAACAGATAAACAGTTTTCTTAGACAGAGCACTTTCTTTTTTCAAGTTCAATAATGACATGCCAACAAGAAGGTTTCATTTCCCTTCCACAACTCTTGGTTGCTTCCTCAGAGAGCTGAGGTATTTCAAAGTCCTTAACTGGGAATGGAAGGGAGTTAGGGAAGGTGACGCGAATAACAGGAAGGATAACTTCCCCACTGAGTTCTGAAGACTATCACCTCTGACATCAGATACCCAGAACGCCATATGCAGACTGAAACACGTTGTCCCTCATACCATGTTTCTGCATGTGCACCATGATTGACCGGGAAGAAAGAGAATCTATCTGCATTATTAAGATCTGTACTTTTCTCTGGTAAAGATCTCGGGTGGACAAATTCTGGCAATTTACCCTGCTGAAGTCTGAGAGCTGGATCTCCTGTGAAGAGTCCATAAAAAAGTAGCATGTACTACAGAACAGTAGGGCTCCTAGAGGTGGTTTATACCATCTGTAGGAAGAATGTTGTTTACATAGGGTAAACACAAACTTTCTTTTTCCTTCTATGATTTAAGTATTAGAGAAATAAACACTAGTGGTGGTAGCAGGATACCTAACAATATACTTAAAATAATTTGATTGCCTAATGAAATCAACAAACCTTGAAAAGAATAACTAGGCAAACGTGAAGTGGATAATTACAAAATTCCAATTATGCAATGTGGTGATACAACATAAAGGCACAGCTTCACCGTAAAAACTATGTCAAAAGAATGGGGAAACAGCATTCCAACTAAAGAAGACATTATAGAGCAAAGATCAAATTTCCTTTCATTTGAAATCATTTGGAGATATAGGTAGTCATCACTACCTATTGGAGTTATTTTTCTGAATAATGTAAGAAAAGATGAGCAAATATGCTGTCATGATATTCAATTAATATGCACATGTGAGTGCCCCAGAACAGAAACTAACCACAAGCTTGGAAAATTACGGTAAAGAAACAGAGAAACGGATCTCTTCCAGACTAAGGGTTTTCAACTCATTCTTCAGTACTTCATTTATTACTACTATAGAAAATTTGAGAAGTATACCAAAAATCAGAATGAATTATTTACACCTACCTATGGAATACAATATTTTAATACAACAATATTTAACATTAATGCCTTGTATTAATATTTTAATACAAGGATTACTATAAATGGAAACAAGGCTTTAAAATTTAAATGTGCTTGTTCACATTTCAATGTGACAGTCATTCAGGAGGGGAAACGCTCTGTTGACAGTGACGCAGAACACTTTGATAAGACTGTGCTCAGAGGGGAGGCAAAAGGCAACATAATGGGAGCAAATGCATTAAGGTTCTTTACCCCCTGTCTCTGTGGTGCTCTTCTTGTTTAGAATTTTCAGGATATCTTTGGTAATCTTCTTCAGCTGATGCCTTGCTTCATCACGCTCTTTGCCGACTCCATAGAGAAGGATTGTGCGCTGGTTACATTCATGACTTGAAGATTCATCCTGAAAAACAGAAAATGCATTCTGAAACTCTTGACTGCAGGGGTGGGGTTGCATTTCATATCCCTGAAATGCACTGACCACAGCACCTCCATACTGGCTTGCGGTGGTGGCATCCCGCCCTCCCTTCAATTCACCTCAACCTCCATTGGCAACACCCTTGTTTTTCCAGTTTGGAACTTGCTAACATTATAAAAAAAAAAAAAAAAGTGTCAACTGACCTGAAGTCTTAATAGAAGCACTTGATGTGGGCGTACCCTGCAGAGTAAGTTCTGGCTATTGAAAAACTTTTCATTGTTTAAAATTGAACATAGTTATTAATTTCACATCATGTAACATATTGTTTAGTCATATTTTTCCCTTAAGGAAAATGTTATCTCTTCATAAGCTTGGTTTTATATATAGCAATAGTAAATATTTACATTAAGGGAAAAAAATCTTGCTAGGATCCTCAAACACCTTTATAAAAAATATTCCTGGACAGGGTGCAGTGGCTCATGTCTGTAATCCCAGTGCTTTTTGGGAGGCCAAGGTGGGAGGATCTCTTGACAGGAGTTCAAGACCAGCCTGGAAAAGAGCAAGACTTCATCTCTACAAAACTATATATATTCCATTTATTTCCAGCATGGCTATGTGAGATACACTTATATTTATTTCCAAATGACAAAACAATAAAGCATGTAGGGGTCATTAGGTGTGAGGCAAACAGCTGAAAATGCAAACATGTTCTGACATCACCACTCTTCCCTTCTGGACCACCTCTCCACCACCACCCCACAGACACAATGAATACAAGCACTACTTTTTTCCCACGTGGGAAAGAAATTTAGTCACAGCATAACGAAAGCATATGCACATCACTGAACACATTCCTCAGCCAAAGTTTCAGAGTCCAGGATGTGCCCTCTCTTGTGCCTGGCTCTGAATCTTTCTATAGCAATTTCTCTCTTGGATTTTATAATCTTCCATTTTCTTAGAAAATGCCCAAATCTAACCTTTGGTAAACCTCCTCTTCTTACTCTTTGTATATTTTTGCCCATGGCAAGCACTTCCCAACAGCATCCATCTTATCCTAAGGAGCTTATATGAGAAAAGAACTCCTCACAGAGAAAACAAACTGCACTGTGTTCCTAATTAGTAGTGGCAGCAACAAAGAACAAAAACCTTAGACCAGAAGTCCAGTGTTTGATCTGGAGAACTTCACGTGTGTACACCGCACAAAGTAGCATATTGCTTCTGCAGCGTTAAACTAAGAACCTGTTTTTCTCTCTCCAATTCTGTTACGTGGCTCTCAGTCTTTGTGTCGGCCTGCCTTTCTCAGGGACACACTTGCCACTGCTTCCCATTGCACTGGTTCCTTTTGTATTATACATTACCAGAAATAGACATTTATATAGCCTGCCAATCTATCTTTCTATTCCCCACCCCTAAATGATTCTTAATGTTTCAGGTGTTCAAATTTGTCTCCAAAAAAAAAGAACATAGGAGCAAGTTTCTCTTAGAAGCTGGGTACCTCTCCCAAATTTAATATCCTGGGTACCTCTCCCAAATTTTCAAAAGATATCCCTAATCATAGGATACAACTGACATAAGCAGTGATCCCTAGAGCTGGCTGCGCATCTGAATGAGCTGAGCTGCTTGCTAATTTCCCACTTTCGTTGTTGCTACAGAGAATTACTGATATATTTCTGGGGGGGGTGGGGTCTGGTGGGTTGTGTACATATAAACCCTAGGAAGGAAACAGGACGGCACTAAGAAAACTATGAAAAATGAAGGCAGTGACAGTCACATGCTTTAGCAATTGTTTTCAGTTAAGGCATATATCAAATGGTCCTAATGTAAATGTCCATGTGAAGGGTGATGACTTTAGCACAGTTATTCAATAACTGTTTATAGAACATCTATTTAAGGCAAGATAAAATGCTAGGAGCCCTGAAAAAATACAAAGATAAATGATTCCTTCTTCAAGGAGCAGAGATTCAATGTCATCAAAGTAGTATTTACAGACCTAGGCGTCCAAAGATGGGTGGTGAAGGAAAGCATCCTGGAAAGAGCCACATGCTCCCACAATCGTACAGGATCACTATGGCCCCAAATTTACCAATAATAGCCCAAGCTTGGGGTAAGAGAGCTGTGACTGCATGCTGGTTGTGCCATTTGCTGAGTTCATGATCTATAATAATGAACCTTCCTAAACCTCCAATTCTTCCTCTGAAAAATGGGGTAACATCCCTTCCTTGTAAGGTTTTTGTCAGAAAACCTGAGATAAAGCACGTAAAATGCTTCGAAGCATACTGGATAGTGTTCACTACCGTTAATTCACATACTAGACTTCCACTCCTCCCCTGCACATCCCCCACACCCACACCAAACTGCATTACTCAACATTTCACCAAGACTCTAGGGCACTTCCTCCCTTTGCTTTTGTTCGTCCTTACACTCTCATAGCTGCAATTTCACTTGCTGAAATGCTATGTACAAATACAGTGTCAGTTCCCTCACTCTGTCACTCCAGTTTATTGAAAACCTCCCCACAGAAGGAGTAAGGAGGGGAAGTAGACTTCAGAGCATTTATTACAGTATAATTCACTTATTTCCTAGGTATTTGTTTAATGTCTGTCTCCCTTATTAGTGTGTAAATTTTGTGGAAGACTCCACGTCTGTTTTGTTCATTTTTATAATCTCCTTAACAGGCAATGAGTTAGCATTTAATATTTGTTGAATACACTAAATACAGAATAAGCGGACTAATGAACAAATATATAGCCAAAGGAACAGTGCAGAGATGATGATAAGAACAAAAATTAGTTTTGTAGGAAACTTTACCTGATGATTAAGTGTTGAGAAAAGTGAAGAGGAGATGTGAGAGACAAAGCTAGAGTAAAAAAGTTTGTAGGGTGAACTAAGTTTTAGTGGTGGGAATGAAGACTAAGAAGCAAAATGAAGAGGTATCTAAGAAGTTAGGAAACGATCAGGCTTTTGAACCCAAGGAGTAAATGTGCATCTCATTGGACTTCAAGATGTACCCACTAGTTAAAATCTATTTATAATGTATAATAATAAATAGTATTGCTTATATTACCAAATAATTATTATTAAATAATCTATATATAATGTATAAAAATACATTAATACATTATAACAGCAGGGAACTTCTGAATTTACATGTAAGTGCAAGGAATTTGAAGGGTAGGTAGAAATGTGTAAATGTCCAGTAACTGGTTTGATATGGGCCCTAACACAGAGGTGACAGCTCAGGAATAAGGGCAATATGTCAAGTTCTGGGAGGGATGCAAAACCTTCACATTATGTTTAGCTAAGAAGGGCTGAGAGAGCTGAGATGGTGAGGGGAGAAATAAGCCAGCAAATGGTGCACATGCACACTCTTTAATAAGATAATATAACTCGGGGTCACACAAGTCAGGGGAGGGGATACATAAGAAAGAGCACCACTGACGATGTCCAATGAGGTTAAGAAGTCACAATGGATGTGACCTCTTACTTGTTTACTGAAAAACTATGTGTGTACCTCAAAAGAGAAGTTTCTCTAAAGTGGCAGGGCACAAAGCTAGGAAACAAGGAGTTGAAGTGAGAGGTGGTGACGAAATGGTGAAGGTAGGGAAGTGACCCACATTTACCAGGAGTTGGGCATGAAGAACAGCAGCTTGAGAGGAAAGAAAGCGTTATGAAGATCATCAACAAACTCTTGTTTCAGACCTATCTTTCAAATAAACAAATTTCCATAGCAGAAATCGAGATTGGGGAACAGATAACTGATGATAAAGGATATAAGAGACAATGGCCTCTTAGCTGAATTAATATGGAAAGAAAGAAAGGAACATCTTTCTACCTGACCATCAGAAAAAAGGAAAATTAGTGAAAATAAAAAGACATTTTGAGGTGAAGATGACACTTAAGAAGCTCAAATCATTCCTTGGCCTTGATATGCTCAGGGAGTTGGGTCAAGGAACAAAGTCATGAGTTGAGAACGTGGGGATAAAATTGAAAAGCAAAAGCAGCAGGCAGTGAACTGGAAAACAATCACTGCTCAGTCTCTATATGGGGTGCAAAGACAGTATCCCCTTCTTAGCATTAATATTTTCAGGGAACTCATGATAGGTGTTACTATAGTAGTCTTCAAATAGGACAGGCAGAGGCATTTTAGAAGCTACTATTTTTCAAGAGCCTACAAGATTTGTTTACATCAGTTTTTTATACAAGTAGAAAATGCAGGCTGGCACGGTGGCTCACACCTGTAATCCTAGCACTTTGGGAAGCCGAAGCAGGAGGATCACCTGAGGTCAGGAGTTCGAGACCAGCCTGGTCAACATGGTAAAACTCCATCTCTACTAAAAATACAAAAACTAGCCAGGCATAGTGGCAGGTGCCTGTAATTTTAGCTACTCGGGAAGCTGAGGCAGGAAAATCGCTTGAACCCGGGAGGCAGAGGTTGCAGTGAGCCAAGATCGTGCCATTGCACTCCAGCCTGGATGACAAGAGCAAAACTCCATCTCAAAAAAAAAGAAAAAAGAAAGAAAACGTAGAAGCCTTCAAATAGCAATTTATAACAAATGAGAATAAAGTCAACCTAAGAAAATATACCAAATATTTTCAAAAGTATCAATGATTTCTGCTTTCAACTTGGTGTTTAAACACCCTCAAGTTGCACAGTTGTAAATAATATTAATAATCTGAGATAAGCACCCAAAACTTACTCACTTGTTTATTCCCCCAAGGATACAGTTGTTGGACAAGGAAAAGCATCAACTGGAGAGTCCATTACAGGAGATGTCAGGCTACCTCTTTTACCCTAGTCCACCTGCTGCTATTGAATTGAATGTGTCATCTCCCCTATAAACTAAGTTCTAAAAACCTCATCCTTTAGATCAATTACTTTCTTTCTCCAGATATTATCTTACACTCACAGAGACTTAATAGATAAAGAAACTAGAAGCATGCATGCCCAAAACCCTGGCAGGCTTGTTGTACTACATTAATTAAAA